TATAGAGTGATTTTGATGGAAGCCAGGGGTGTAAAAGGAAGGAAAGGGTAAGGGAGATTCAGAATGAACGCTCTTGTTTCCTAAACTCCTTTTCAGAGAGGAGATGGGGTGAAGATGTATCCAATCTTAGGCTCAATCTCCATCAGAATTGGGAACGTTCACCTGGAAAAGTCTCCAGGGAGATCTTAAAGCCTCTTCCAGTGTCTGAAGGGGCTCCGAAATAAAGGAAGAAAGAATTCTGTGCTGACGCTACTCTCTTTTTGTTATTGTTGTGTCTCCATGAACTGGAACAAGGGTGTTTGTTCCAGAAAAGCCCTGCCCTACTTCTGCATGGCCCCTTCTCCAGTCGCATCTTGTTCATTTCCCTGGTATTTAGGACCAGGGATCCTTGTCTGTTATTCCCTACAATCCCTGCTTGGCTCCATGGCTGTCTGTGTTTGAGGCATGGACATTAGCCCAGAGAATGCCCCATGCCTGGGAGTGTTCCAGGCCGAGTTGACAGGGCTTGGAGCACACTTGGATAGTGGAAGGTGTCCCTGCCTGTGCCAGGGGGTGACACTGGATTATCTTTAAGGTCCCTTATGACCCAAAACGTTCTGGGATTCTGGAATTCTCTGATATGGTGCATAAGAAACTACTTTGTGGGACTGGTGGGGCTTCTGCAGCCACCCCTGGGCATGGGTACAACACTGTTCCCAACATTCCACGTGCTCGTGACATGGATTAGCATAAATCTGTGTGAGTCTGGGCTCTGCTGACTTATCCCAGCTAAAATCCTGGCTTCTGGCACACAGGAGGGGCTGTTGTGTCTGGAGTGGAGGGAGATTGTGCCATCCCCTCTCCCTCCTGGGAGTTAAGCTTGGGAAAGATCTTGCAGACCATCAAGTCCAACCATCAGCCATCACCACCACCATGGTCACCACTAAACCACGTCCTCAAGTGCCACATCCACTTGGTTTTTCTTAACAATTCCGGGGGTGATGACTCCACCACTTCCCTGGGCAGCCTCTTGCAGTGCTCTAAAACCCTTTCTGTTCTCATAGGATTTGTGCCCCATCCAGCCTGGCCTCGGACACTTCCAGGGATGAGACAGCCACAGATTTTCTGGACAGCCTGTGCCAGGGCCTCCTCACCCTCCCAAGGAAGAATTTCTTCCCAATATGCCATCTAACCCTCCTCTAAAACCTGTATGGAGTAGCTCGATGGGAACTAAAAGGGAAAATTATTTATTTTCAAGACTTGAATTTCACAATAATCAAAGAAGGGAGAAGCTGTGGATGAATCGAAAACATACTTGAAACTGGGCTTTGGGGTTCTTTGGTTTAAGTTGGGACAGAAGCTCTTCTCAGAAAGGAGAAGCAGGGTGGGAAAAGCCATTGTCCAACCTTTGCTTTTGCAAAGTGATTTGCAGAGCAGGAGAAATTGTTCTGGGAAGAACCAGCTGAGCCAAGGGACAGGATGTGCCCAGTAAGAGCTGCAGTGTGTCCCAGTGCCCAGAGCAGGCACAGCAAGAAAAAGGCGTTTTAGTGGCGTCACAAAATGTTCAGTTTTTCCCTGCAAATTGTTTGGGAGCTGCATCCTGTGCCTGGCTTTTAGCACTGAGCACAAACAGGCCAGCTGCCCTCAGCTAAGGATGTGTTGCCAAAGGAGTTTGGCATTTGAAAGGACAGGAGCCCCTGCAAATCGAAATAAAAATAGGCCCAAAGAGGAAGCAGAAATAAAGGAATGATTTAGCAAAATGAAAATAAAAACACAGAAATAGCTGGGGGGAAAAAAACCCTCAGCAGACAAAAGCCCACAGGTCTGATTGCCAAGTGCCACTTCTGCTAAACAATCCGATTTCCCAAAGGTTGTGTTGACTCCGAGGTCTCCCAAAAGTCTGGTGAGGAAACAGAGTCAATGCTCTGAAGTGAAACTGCAAAAAAGGGGTCAGACTCAGGCACCTGCATCTCTGGGATCCTGCCAAGGGAGAGCTGAGGATCCCTGCGGAGAGGCATCTTCTGGGACCTCCTCACCCAGGCAGGAGAAGGTGTGAGGATAAGGATCTCTCCCTCTGGTGCAGGACACAGCAAGAAAACATGGACACCTTGCTGGTGTGGATGGGATAACCTTGGATAGCGACTGGTTTAGCTGGTTTATCTGCTCAGGCAGGCAGACTTTGTTTCCAGGAAAGGTTGTCCCTCCTTCCTTTGACATCAGTTGCCTTTTTCCCTGTCTTGCTGCCCCAGGAGGTATTCTTAGGGCCCCCTGATTCCCAACCCTGGGCAGTGGGAACAAGGGATGCTGCTTGGGGAGCAGCATCCCCTGTTCCCCCTGCCCAGGATCAGGGCAGTGGGAGTCAGGGGCCAAAAACCACAAGTGGTTTGTGTGAATACCCCCAGCAAGTGTTGAGTTTGGGCTCTGAGGTTGGAAATCTGTCACCTGCTCCAAAAAAGGCCCCTCCAGTATTCCATATGCTGTGAGGAGAAGGAGGATGGCAGCAAGGTATCCAAGAGCCAAAGGGGTCAGACTGGCTCCTGCCAGCTGCTTCCAGGCCTTTCCTATCACAAACCTCACCTGAAAGCTTCTCCTCTGATTTCTCCCATCTGACTTTTTCCTCCTTCTCCGTGCACCAGCCTCTTCCTCATGTCAGGTTGTGCAACAAACTCTCTGGAGCTGGAGCAGAACCCAACCTGCTGCAAAGAAATGACCCAAATCAGGGGATTTTTGGGAGCTGCTGAAATCCTCTTTATGGTCCTGCATGCTCTTGTTTATTTTTTTAATTCCTCTTTTGCACAAACTGCTTCTCTTCCTTACTCCATGTTAGTGGGGCGACTGTATCCTGATGCAAGGGCCATTCCCACTCTGTTGCCCACAAAGTCCAAAGGCTTTTCCATTGCTTTGTTCCCAAAAATCGCAAAGCCAGCAGGAGCAGCGAGGAATGCAGCCAGATCAAAGTGCACTCGTGTGGCAAAGACTGACCGCAAAAGACAGGCATGGGACAAATGTCTGTCCCTGGTCTCGTCCTGCTCCCTGATGCTGGATCCACAGGGAATGTACCCAACATTTGTAGGAAAAGCAGTGCTGCTGGATCTGCATGGAAGATGCTTCAACTTCTTGCAGCAGTTTTTAGTGAGTTTTCCTTCTCCCCTTTCCTCGGGGCCTCCAACTCCATGAGCCCTTCCTTGGCTGCTGATGGCTTCAAGATGTGGGAAGCTGGGAGGAAAATTCAATCCCTGTCACCAAAGCCTGGGAATGTGCAGTGAATAAGCAGCTTTGCAAGTCAAAGAAGTCTGGGAGTGATTTGTTGGAGGTTTTTTTGCTGAGCTTAAGGAGGTTTTTCTTCCCAGATGGAAAAGGCTTCAAGGTGGATTAGGTATGGTTCTATTCTTTGGGAAGAGTGCAGCAGGCAGTGACTTGTGCCACAGGTTCAGGGAGCAGAAAGGTTGGTGCAGAGAAACACCAGTGCCTTTCAGCCACATCATCAGGACTCTGGTTTTCCAAATCCCAGTCCCTTCCCATGGAGGGGGGAACACTCATGGCCTTGATACCTCTTGGTCCCAAATGTCCCCATACAAGGCCAGTATTGGGGCAGGGTCTGAATATCCAGAAACTCCCTTGTTTCCTTCCCATGCCACAGAAGTTGTGTTCAGTTTGCCTTGGGTTAACAGCTCATGTTGGTTTCACCTGGGTCTTCCTCCTTTCCTTGGTTTTGTCCTTGTCCCCTCTTGTCCTGCTGGTGTGGGCCAGGTGAGAAGGAGCAGTGCCTTCAGCACAGCATTCCCGTGCTGGACAGGCCAGAGGGCAATGGGGTGACATTCCATAGGATGAAGTGGCTGGTCCTGTGCTTGGGTCACAACAACCCCATGGAGCACTGCAGGCTGGGAAAGGTCCGAGGTGTGCAGTGGCTGAACACAAGCCCAGGTGTGCCCAGGTGTGCCCAGGTGTGCCCAGGTGCCCAAGGAGGCCAATGGCAGTGGTGTGGCCGCAGGACCAGAGCAGTGATGCCCCTGTGTGACCACTGCTGAGGCCTCACCTCAAATCCTGGGGGCAATTTTGGGCCCCGTGTGAAAAGAAAGACTTGGAGGCACTGGAGTGTGTCCAGAAATGGGAATCAAGGCGGGGAAGGGTCTGGAGCACCAGGAGCAGCTGAGGGAGCTGGGAGTGGAAGCTCAGCCTGGAGACAAGGAGGTTCAGGGGAGACCTTGTCACTGTCTACAAGTGTCTGAATCATGGAATGGTTTGGGTTGGAAGGACTTTAAAACTTATCCCATTCCCTGCCATGGGCAGGGGCACCTTCTACTAGCCCAAGTTGCTGCAAGCCCCATCCAACTTGGACACTGCCAGGGATGGGGCAGAGGAAGTGAAGTGAAAGTCGGTCTCTGCTCTCCAGGTAACAAGCGACAGGACAAGAGGAGTTTGCCTCAAGCTGTGGCAGGAGACGTTTAGGTTGGACATTGGGAAAATTCCTTCACAGAAAGGACTGTCCAGCCCTGGCACAGCTGCCCAGGGAAATGTGAATCCCCACCGCGGCGGGGCGTAAAACCCGTGTGGCCCTTGGGGACAGGGCTCAGCGGTGGCCCCGCACCCCTGGGGGAGCGCTCTCGGCCCGGCAGCGCCGGTGCTGCCCGCTCCCTCCCCCGCCGGGAGGCGGGCCGGGGCCGGGCCGGGCCGGGGCGGAGCGGCGGCGCTGGCGGCCCCCGAGCGCGGCGGGGCGGAGCGCGTCCCGCTCCCGGGACCGCTGCCAGTGCTGCGCTGGTGCCGGCGGCGGAGCGGTGCCGGTCCCGGTGCGGAGCGGTGCCGGTCCCGGTGCGGAGCGGTGCCGGTCCCGGTGCGGAGCATGTGAATCCCCACCGCGGCGGGGCGTAAAACCCGTGTGGCCCTTGGGGACAGGGCTCAGCGGTGGCCCCGCACCCCTGGGGGAGCGCTCTCGGCCCGGCAGCGCCGGTGCTGCCCGCTCCCTCCCCCGCCGGGAGGCGGGCCGGGGCCGGGCCGGGCCGGGGCGGAGCGGCGGCGCTGGCGGCCCCCGAGCGCGGCGGGGCGGAGCGCGTCCCGCTCCCGGGACCGCTGCCAGTGCTGCGCTGGTGCCGGCGGCGGAGCGGTGCCGGTCCCGGTGCGGAGCGGTGCCGGTCCCGGTGCGGAGCGGTGCCGGTCCCGGTGCGGAGCGGTGCCGGTCCCGGTGCGGAGCGGTGCCGGTCCCGGTGCGGAGCGGTGCCGGTCCCGGTGCGGAGCGAGGCGGTGGCGCTGGCGGTGCCGGCGGGCGATGGGCGGCGGGCGCTGGGCGCTGCTCTGGGCGCTGCTGGCGGCCCTGCGCCCGCCCCGCGGAGCGGCCGGTGAGTCCGCAGGGGGCACGGAGGGAGCCGGGGACGGCCCCGGGACGGGGGCGGCGAGCGGAGCTTGTCCGGGGAACGCTTTCCCGGGGGGCTGCTCCGGGCCGGGCTGCGGCGGCGGCAGCACGGGCACTGCGCGCCCGCCGAGCGCCCGGTGCGTCCCGGGGAAAAGCTGCGCAGGGATCTCCCGGGGGGATTCTGGCCGCATCGCAACCCGGAGCGGGTCTGGCGGCTCCGGTACACCGGGTTTGGCTGTCCCGGGACACGCAGTCTGGCTGTCCTGCGACACAGGGCTTGGCTGTCCTGGGACACGCGGTTTGGCTGTGCCAGGACACAGCAGCTGGCTGTCCCGGGACACATGGTTTGTCTGTCCTCGGACCCACGGTCTGGCTGTCCCGGGACACAGGATTGTGTTGTTCTGGAACACAGGGTCTGGCTCTTCTGGGACGTGATTTGAATTTCCTGGGACACAGTCTGGCTGTCCCAGGACAAAGCTCTGCCTCCGCAGCGTGGTCCTGCCCCAATACTTCGCTGCCTGATGTGCCTGTGCTTGCTGGGGACACCCCGAGAGGCAGGGACCACAAATTGTGGCAGATCAGTCTGGGATTTATCCCATTATCCATGAGCCAGCTAAGCAGTGATGCTGAGAAAAATACTCGGTATCACCACGGTTTGTGGTGCTTTGTAGTGAAGGCAGTTTGGTGGCTTTTCAACTCCATTTGCAGAAAGATATGAGGAGATAAAGTAATTTTTGGACTTTCAAAAATCCTGTGATCGGGGCTTGCCCGACCTTTGGGAGCCGCTGGGGGACCTCAGGGCTGCTGAGGGGTCTCGGAGTCGCTGTGCAGATGGAATTTAGCAGGGAAGGCAGGAATTTGAGTGTTTGCTTTGGGCAGGGAGGAGTTAAAGTCCTGACTGTCACAGCAGGAGCCTGCAGTGAGGGGAACTCTGTGGATGTAACCGCGAATCCTGGGCTGCTTTGTGCAAAAGGTGTTTGAATAAGGAAGATTTCTTTGGATTCAGGTGTAGCCCCGAGGAAAATGAATTTCTTACAATCATAGAATTGTTTGGCTTGTAAAAGATGATTGAGTCCAATGTTAACCCGACACTTCCAGGTCTACCACAGCTCCCAGGGGATGGGAGGTTGGAAACCCCTCAGGCAGGGGCTCCTCAATCCTCCTGCTCAACAGTGCCTGAGCAGAAGCTGTTGTCAGCAGGTGAATTACTCCCAGCAGTGGGAATTCCAGGGCTAGGGATGCAGCCAGTGTTTTGGCAATCCTGGATGCATCATGACTGCAGTAAAGACCTTGTTTCATTCGCGGGGTGTGCTTATTGTTCTTCATTCCCGATAAAGTATTCCGCCCGATTTTCCTGCTAAAATTCCTCTCTCCAGGGAGAAGGGCACACAGGACCTGTGCAGCAAGATCTGCCTCTGTTGGCCCTGGAGTTTTGCTGCAGTTCCAGGTGTTCCAGGAGAGCAGCAGTGCCCTTGCGAGTGGTTTGATTTCCACGCCAGATTTTGCCTCAGGCCTGGCTGTGGTTAGGACGGGAGCTGCTCCGGCACCCACACAGGCACGCCAGGCTTGCAGCTCCCTGGCTTTAGCCTGGGATTTTAGAGCCAGCCTAACTGCTCTGGACTCAAGCAAGAGCTGTTCTGCCACACAGGGCGAGTGCCTTCCAAACTGCTGTGAGGATATCCCCATCCCAAACTTCTGGGGTACCCAAAGGCAGCGTTGGAGATGAGGAATTCCTGTACTCTCATGAGTCAGAGAGGAAAGTATTTCATTCCCGGGCCAGCAAACACCTCTTCCCACTTAATTAGTGTGAAAACAAGGCTGAGATCCTCCTTGCTCTTTGCCTTTAAGCTTGAAGCAGCCCAGGGAAGCAGAAACCATCCCAGGACACAGCACAAATCCATGTCCTCCCCAGCCAGGGGTCTGTGCCGGGGGAGCTGCTCTGGCCAGAGCCAGAACCCTTCAAATGGAGCATGAAAATAGAAGTTGGAGCCTGGATTGTGCCAGGCAGGGAGCGGCTCCAGCCTGAGTGACCTCCGGGAGGAGCAGGGGACGGAAGGGAATTTGGGGTCGCTGCTTGTTTGCATTTGGCAGATCCTTTGGGAGCTGTGGAGAGGCGGCTGCACATCCATGGCTGTCCCTGCAGCTTTGCAGCAGTCACATGGGCTGTGTTTGTGTTGCTTTGGGAGGCTCAGGGACACAGGTTGGAAAAGCTTGCAGCTCTTTTTGTTTTTTTTTTTTTCTGAAAGGGAAACCCATTGTGCTGCGGGAGAGGCAGGGAGAGCCTCCCCCTTCCCTCTGGACTGAAAAACCCTGCTAGCATTCTGTCCTCATGCAGCATTTCTTGAGGGTTAAAAATAGGGAGAGATTTAGCAAAGGGATATATCCAACCTCAAAATTGGGCTGTGTTTCTTGGCTCTGTGAAAAACACACCAGGCTCGTGCCCCATTACTCACAACAGTGATGACGTAGCTTTAAAAACTTGTTGTTTGATGTTTGAGAGCTAAAACCTGCTCAAAAACAAACTCAGCTGAGCTCAGGTTCAATAAAAACCGTGCTTTCTTTATCTTTTGAACTGTGAGTGGTTGTTTGGCTTTTCTGTCTTGGAAAAGGGTATTAATTTAGTTGAAATTCCTGTCTGGCACAATGCCTTTGCTTGCTGAAAGGGAGATTTACCACTCAGCTCGGGATTGCTGATGGCTGGGAAAGCCTCAGGAAGCTCAGAAATGGTCCAGGAAAACCAGCCTCCACGTGGTGGATCCCCTAGATCTGATCTCAAAAATAGACACATTTTTGGAAGAGAATTGCTTTAAGTGGAGCTGCTGTTCATCTCAGCCATGGCTGGGTGGGAAGTGCTGGGAGGGAGGAGGAAAATGCCATTTGGTGACTTGGAGGTGGGGGTATGAAGTCCTCAAAAAGAGCTTTCCCTTGGGAAAAAAATGTGGGAGAAGACCCTGGGAGAGCAACACTGAACGGCAGCTGGCTCCTATACACTGTCCAAAGGCATTTCTTCTTCTGTGTGCAGCTCTTTTCCTGGGAGAGGCAGTGAGTGGAGGCACTTAGCAAAAGTTGACTCAGAGCATGTCCTGCTCTCCCTGTCCTGGGAAGGGACAGGCTCTTGGCAGAGCTTAAAATCAGCAAAATTCCAGCCGGGAGCTCTTCCTCTGCCCCAGCTGAAAATGCTTCAGATGAGGCCCTGCAAAGGGTTTGCTGGAGTAAAGTCCCAAATTCCTGCTGCCCAGGGATCCTTTTATATTCCAGTCCCGGGGGTGTAATGCAGCAGGAATAGCTCCTGCCTCTCCCCTTCCCAAAGAAACGTGGCTGAGTGTTTTCTTTAGCTTGAGCTGCTCCTGTTTGCTTTAAAAACGACTTTTTTAGAGGTGCTGCCTGTACAGAATCCTGGGACAACATTTTGGGAAGTGGAAATGAGCTGCCTTTAATTATTCCTGGAAGCAGTGGGGTTGTTTTGCTGCGAGGTCTCCCAAACTTGCTGGTGGTGGTGACGAACCACAGGTGTTCCCTTGCAGAGGATGCTGACGGGGAAGGAGGTGGGAGGCCATTCCTGTTGGCACATTCCCGGCGTTCCCAGCGGAGCCTGCTCGGGCAGTGGCCCCAGCGGAGCACCAGGGAGGAGCCCCCAGGCAGCTCTGTCGGACAGCTCAGGTTCAACCCCACGGTGCGACACGTGGTCATCAACGAGCACAAGGACGTCACCTTCAACTGCTCCATCCGAGTGCCTCAGGAGCTGCTGCGGGCCGATGCCCCGGGAATTTCCCTCTGGAAGGACGGGAGGGAGCTGCACGTGCTGGATCGCATCGCCAGCAGCCACTTTGAGATCCCCGATGAGGAGGAGGTGGCCATGACCTCCACCTTCAGGTGAGTGCTGCTGGCCTTTGGAGCAGGTGGGAATGAGGGATGCCCTGAGGGCTGGCTCCCAGGGAAGATGGGAAGCCACAAGCCCTGAGGTTTTGTCCATTCTGTCCGGCAGCATCCTCGGTGCCCAGCGCTCGGATAACGGCTCCTACGTCTGCAAACTCAACATCTCTGGCGTGGAGGTGGTGTCTGATCCCATCCTGGTGCTGCTGGAAGGTGAGCTGGAGCAGCTGTGGAGTTGTGTCCTGGCTGAGTGACCAGGAGCTGGGAGCTAGAAATGAGGAATCCTTTGCTTCCCTGTGTCCGTGCAGGTCTCCCACACTTCATCCGTCAGCCTGAGCAGCTGAATGTCACCAGGAACAGCCCCTTCAACCTGACGTGCCAGGCTGTGGGACCTCCAGAGCCTGTGGAGATCTACTGGTTCCAGAACAACATCCAGGTCAACCGGAAACCCCACATCTCCCCGTCGGTCCTGACTGTGCCAGGTGAGCTGGGAGTGTCCCTGCCATGTAGTGTCCCTGCTGTGGGACACCACAGCTGGGAATGTGCCTTGTGCTGTCCCAGAGCTGCTCCCTGCTGGGAGAGGCTGTTCCCGTGCCAGCCACAGTCCTGGGGCAGGAAGCCCCATCCAATCTCCTCTGGCTGCTGCCAGAAATCCCTTCCCTGGAAGAGGCAGGGTACTCAACCAACTCTTTCCTGAGCAAGCAGCAGATTTTTCCGCCAGCCTCTGGCTGTGCCAACAGGAACCTGGCTGCTCTCCTGGGCTGCTGGAGTGTTGGTCACCACTTTGTGTCTCTGGAAGAGTTTGGGATGCCCCCTGTGCTGTGTGTCCATGACAGCTGGTGGGACACAGGGAGAAAAATCCTTGGTGTCCCATAAACCCCCACTCTGGTTTTGCTGCAGAGGAAAAGATGGGGTATTTCTTGCTTTGCTTATGAGGAGGAGGCTGATGGTTAATTAAGAGCTGGGCTATAATTGCCCAGTCTTGGCATCCAGCGGCAGGCGGCCTTTAAAAGGCAGTGAAAGCCGGAAGAAGTGACTCATTCCTCTTGGATGTCCTGGCATCCGCCTGGCACCCGCTAGGCTGGGTCATTGGAGCAGAGCTTCTCCTGGCCCAGGAGGCCTGGCACCCTGAGGCACTGCTGGGATGAGCCAACACTCCCCACATCCACCTTGGCGTGGGACAGGCATCCCAAGCCCAGGGTCGCCTCACCCAGGCCGGGAGAATCCGCCCTCGGGTATTTCCAGTGGTCCTTCTCTGCCATCAGCTGGGGGATTTGAGCAATCCTTGACCAGCACTGAATCATCTGACCAGGCTGTGGCAGGGGCTCTTCTGCTTTCTGCCTTTCCCCTTTTGGAGGGAAAACAACCCCTTCCTCAGGAGCTTGTGCAAGGGCTCCGTAGGGACATCCCGTCCCTGCCGTGCCGGATCCGGCAGGGATGGCACACACGTGTGCCCCCGGTGGGGGAGTGGGGCAGCTGGAGCCTGGGGTCACCCCCGGGCACTGGCAGAAAAGTGTCACAGAGGGAAGTGAAAACGGGCTAAGAAGGAAACCTTGAGTGTTTGCTGGTGGGGAGCTGGTTGAGATTGGGATGGCTTTGGGATATCCAGGGAACAGGGCTGTGTTTTCCTGGCAGGACTCAACAAGCCGGCGCTGTTCAGCTGCGAGGCCCACAACAGCAAAGGCCTGACTGCATCCAGCCCGGGCCAGGTCAACATCAAAGGTCAGCTCCCATTCCCTGCTAAACCCCTGTGTCCAACACATCCCAGCACTCATCCTTCACAAGCTGAGGGAGATCCTGGCTTCAATCCTGTAATTAAAATCCAGCGGGATCTGGTTGTAATGTGGTCATCCACGTTTGGTCTTCCAGTACTGGGATAGGGGAGGGAACACCAAAATCTAAATTTGAAAGCAAAACTGTCAGTTTCAAAGCAGGATTCGGAAGGCCTGCATCGCTCCTTTCCTTCCTTCATAACTAGGGCGGTGCTCCATAGGAATTTTCCATAGGAAACAGTGGAAATTGCTAACATTCCTGATGGGAGCCACTCCAGCAGCATGAGGAAGGTGTTCCCCAAAATAAGTCATGGTCTTTAAGCTGCCCAGAGTGGTCACAAATATAGAAATGGCCAAAATAGTTCTGAAAGTGACATTTTTGTGCTTCCCTATCCGGTGGTCCAGCACATCCGCAGAATTCGGATGTGGGGTCACACACTGAGCCCTGGGAGCTCCAGGGAAAAGCCACCGTGCCAGGTTTGTGTTTAGGCTTCCAGCTGACTGCCCTTGGCTTCTCCCTGCAGGAATTCCATCGGCTCCTGTCAGTGTGCAGGTCCTCAACAGGACAGCCCATGGAATCAGGATATCCTGGGTGCCGGGCTTTGATGCCTTCTCTGCCTTGAACAACTGCAGTGTCCAGGTAAGCATCCAGGATTCCCATATCCCTGCAACTCCCCCACACGGATGCTCTGAGGCAGGTGGAAGTTGGTGGTTGGCATGAGCTGCACAGATTTCATGGAATCCTGGGATGGTTTGGGTTGGAAGGACCTTAAAGATCATCTAGTTCCAACTTCCTTCCAACACCTTTCACTATCCCAGGTTGCTCCAACCCGGCCTTGGGCACTTCCAGGGATGGGGCAGCAACAGCCTCTCTGGGCAGCTTGTGCCACGTCCTCACAGGGAGCATTTTTTTCCCAATATCCCATCTATCCCTGCCCTCTGGCAGTGGGAAGTCATTCTCCCTCGTCCTGCCACTCCAGTCCCTCTCCAGCTCTCTTGGAACCCCTTTCCATTGGGCAACACAGTCAGGTTGTCATGTATTTTATGGACCTGGTCAAACCCTTCCCAACCAAGCAGCATTCCCAAAGTCAGGGTTTGGAGGGGCAGGTTTCCCTCAGCTCCCCACTCCTAGGAAGGAGCTGAGGGATTGCCTGTGTCCTGGAGAACTCAGGGAATGCCATCTCCAAGGGCAGAGCCTGCAGGCATTTTCCACCTGCTGCACGTGGCTGGCTTTGCCAATCCAAGCACATCTTGCTGTCTCATGGATATGATTTTTATCCTGGAAAATCTCCACTCCAGCTGGGATAACACGTGGAGAGAGGAGACCTTTGAAGCCAGGTAAAAGTGAAAGGAATTTCAGGGAAGAAAGGTACCAGGGCTAATATTAGCACCATGTCCTGCTGCTGCCTTCCAGCCGGAGCTTGGGAAGAGGGGTGGAGAGCCAAGGAATTTCCTATGACTTAACATTCATGGTCTGTCTGTAGGAAATAGCCTTTGAAAGTGGAAAACAGGAGAGGGTTTCTGGCAAAAACACAGCAGTGACTCAGCCCTTTTGCTGCTGTCCCCTTGGATAATCCCCGGGCCCATCGAGCCAGTGACTCATTCCCGAGGGCTGCAGCTGGCCCACCTGCCAATTCCAACTGTTGCAGTCTGCAAACATCCTGATTTCCTTCCAAAATCCGTGGATTTGATGGGTTATTCTCAGAAGACAATTGATCAGGCTGGTCCCGGAAGTGTTGTGTGTGTTCCTCTGGTCACTGCTCACCTCCCTCAGAGCATCTTGTGACAGCTTGGGGACGGAGGTGGCATTCCCTGACTTTTTCAGGAGACAGGCAACCCCTCAGCTCCTTCCCATTATTTGTAAAGAATGGGGAGCTGAGGGAAACCTGCCCCTCCAAATCCTGACTTTGGGAATGCTGCTTGGCTGGGAAGTGTGTGACCAGGACAGATGTGTGACCAGGACAGGTGTGTGGCTGCAGCAACCCCAGGCTTGCAGAGTTTTCCAGAGAACTGTTTGGAGCATTTCTGGGAATTTCTCCATGAATACCTGAGGATGAAGGCTGTTCCTTTATATTTTGGCTGTAAAACAGATGCTGAGACCATCCTGGGATACCATGGGGGGGCACTTTTGACTGAGCACAAGGATAGGTGTCCTGCCATCCCAAAATAATGGATGGAGGTTTTTCAGAGGAGTGCATGGCCCTGGGCATGTGGGTTGGGTTGTCCTTGTTCTTGCTCTTCCCTCTTTCCCAATCCAGGTAGTACTTCCCACAAAATGAGATGTTTCCTGGAAAGCTGCAGTGGCTCTGTGGGCAGCTCCATGGGGACTCCACATCCATAAATTTGTCTCTCTGTGAAAAGCAGGACTTGTTTTTGGGATGTTGAATTCATCCATGCTGCTAAATGTGACAAGGATTGGGATTAGTCCTGTTACATCCCATGGAGATAAATCCCGTTTTCCAGTGATGTGCCACACAAAAAAGGAGCTTTATTTTGTTTATTTGGGATGTTCTGCCTGGTTGTTTTCTTCAGGGCTCCTTTTACTCCATGCCACAAGAAACACTGAATTATCCCTCCCTCCTTCCCAACATCCCTGGAATGTTCCCAGCTCCACACGTGCTGGAGCCATCTCCCTGTGCCCTGTGAATGTCCTGCCATGAGCTTTCCCTGCAGGAGCTTTTCCCTGCAGAGTTCAAATGGGAGGCAGGGCTCTGGATCCTGTTTTCCAACATCTCTCCCTGCAGGTTGTTGCTGACTAATCCCTGTTTGTGGACTGATTTTCCAATTAAAGGTCAAGGAAATTGTTCCAAGAGGCAACGTCTCCCTTCAGCCCTTCCACACCTCGGTGCCTCCCCACGTGTATCACATCCAGCAGCTGGAGCCCATGGAAGAGTACAACATCCGTGTTTCCTGCGGGAATGAGGTCGGCTGGTCGGCATTCAGCCCCTGGATAACGGCCAGCACCACAGAGGGAGGTAGGAAATGGGGAGTGAGCACTGAGAAGGGTTTCCCTGCCTCAATCCCTCTGGAGGAGAGGCACCTCTGGAGTCCTGGTTGCTCCCAGGGTGGGAAAGGAAACTTCCCCCTTTTTCATGGGCTTTCAAAAAACTCCAGCTCGTTTTCCATCAGATTCCCACATCTCTGCACCCCTTCTCCCAGCTTCCCTCACCTCCTTTCCCATTGATTCCCACATCTCTGCACCCCTTCTCCCAGCTTCCCTCAGCTCCTTTCCCATGGATTCCCTCATCTCTGCACCCCTTCTCCCAGCTTCCCTCAGCTCCTTTCCCATGGATTCCCACATCTCTGCACCCCTTCTCCCAGCTTCCCTCACCTCCTTTCCCATGGATTCCCACAGCTCCGACCACGCCGCCGCTGAACATCACGGTGTCCTTCAATGAATCCAGCTCCTCGCTGGAGATCCACTGGGTGAAGCCACCACTGGAGAGGATCCACGGGGAGCTCCAGGGCTACCACATCTGGTACAGGTGGCACAACTCCGAGGGCATGGTGAGTCACCAGGGAATGGGGAAGAATGGCTAAAATCCTGGAAAAATTCCCAGCAGGCATGTCCAGATGGGTTTTGGTGCTTCCACAGATTCTTTTGGAGCTCATTTCTCTGCTGTTTTGGGCTTTCGTGTGGGCTTCAAACCACTCCTGGCATTGCATTCCTTGGATTTTGATCTGTTCCTTACTCAGATGGGATTTATCCCTTCCTTAACCCACAGCACAGAATTTCAGAGCTCGAGGAACTCTTTGGCCAAAGGCCTCTCTGTGAGTGTGATTCAGGCATGAAATCACCTGGCACACCCTACTTGCCTTTTCTAGGATTTGGGAAGCAGCTGCATGAATTTGCTAGGGCAAGGTTGGCCTGGGCTCTGGGCAAAAGATCCCATCCAGAGCCTGTGGATAACAGCAGGAATGGATCCAGCTGTGGTTTGGGTTCCTCCGTGCCAGGCTGGCAGAGTGACCCCAGCTGGAAACAGTGACTCATCCCCTTTTTTTGTTGGATGCTGCACTTTCTGTTCTCCTTTTGCTCCCCCGTATAGATCCAGCCTGAATGAAGCCAGGGAAACAAAATCATGGTCTTGTGACTCGGAAAAAAAGTGCTGACAGGAGCTGTCTCTCTCCAGCAAAAGGCCAAACCCAGGCCTTGCCCTTTAAGGCCTGAGAGATTTATTGTTGCTGTTGTTGTTTGTTAGTTTTTGTCCATTTTTCCAGCTTATGGAGTGAAATTTTTTCCAGTTCTCAATTTTTCCATTAGTCTGAGACACGAGAGTGGAGTTCTGACTCCTCAAAAAGCTCCTTCTAAGGTTGGACTCCATAGTCTTAGAGGTCTTTTCCAACCTAAATGATTCTGTGTGTATGATTCCATGAAATAAAGTTCCTGAGTTGTGGCCCTGCACCAGCTAAATCTGGACTGCCCCAAAATAACCACCAGTTTTTGCAGGATAAAGTCAGAAAGAAGCCGGATTTTGGTGTCACAGGGCCACCTGCAGGCCTCTCAACAACCAGAAAACTCCCAAAAGTTGGTTTATTTTCCTCCTTAGCCAGCAGTCCTTGTTGGAGCCAAAGCTGCCTGAGTTGGGACAGGAAGAAATTCCTCAACTACCACAAAGCTCATAAAATCCCATAAAAATTGGCAGGTCATCCCTGCTTTGTGCTCATGATCTGGGTCTGTCCTCAGATGATACAGCAGAGCCCTTTAGGACAGGGAAAGATCCCAGTTTTAGGCTGGTGGTAGGGAAAGGATCCCATGTGAATACGAGGAGGAGGAAGGCAGGAATGTGGGAGCAGAGGTGACAACAGGTCCCAGCTCCTGTTGCTGCCAGTAGGTGCCCACACATTCCCAGGGCCCGGGTGTTTCACATCTATTTCCGTGGCTTTTTTGGGACAGGGAACAGAAACTGGTTCCATCTGAGAAGCTCTGAATCCCTCTCCTCATCTCTCTCCTTTCCCACTGATCCCCCTCAGCTCCATTCCCTGTCCTCATCCCTCTCAGCTCCTGCTCTTTTTTTGTGGGATGTTCAGGAAGGAGCCAGGCACTGCTGGGCACAGCAGCTTGCCAGATGTTTTGGCTGCAGCTGGGCAGCTGTTTTGCAGTTGGAAATCGGCAGGGAGCAGCAGCAGCACTTTCTCAGCTGGAAACAACCAGGAAAGGGTGGAATTTGCAGGGAAAGGCTCCGATGTTTCTACCAAGCCACCCTGCTTCCTGCCATGGTACCAGCCAAGGAAATACATAAAAATATACATAAAAATATATATAAAATACACGGGACTATAATTATCTGGACCCAAAAGCCACAGAAGGAGTGGTTTTTGAGCTCAGGATCTACTTCCAGAGCACTTGGACAATCCTACCAGGAGCACATGGATCCGTGGGTGCTGAGGCTCACAGGGCTCCAGTGGCCAAACTGGCCACAACGAAGGCTGAGGGTCACAATCCATGTCACCAGAGCCTTTCCCTTCCTTGCCAGATCCTTCCCTGCCTCTTTTCTGGCTCTGGCTGCTGCTGTTGTGAAGCAGAGAGGGCCAGGAATGCTGGGATTGAACGGGAAGCGCTGCTCAGCTCCGTTCCCGATCCCATCCGGCCCTTGCACACAGGGCCATTCTTCTCTCTAAATAGCCGGGTGCTGCACTTCCTCTGAGCTGGGAAAGCAAAGCAGCTCCAAAGGTTGCCAAGGGGACAGTTCTCAGTAAATCCCCAGGTTTCCCTGCCTTCCCCAGCCCAGGATTTTCTTCCCTTCCTCTCTCCAGCAGATTGTCTCCGACGAGGTCCGGCTGAACGGCAGCGTGGCCGTGCTGCCCGTGTTGGCCACCAACGCCACCTGCTCCATCCGTGTGGCCGCTGTCACCAAGGGGGGAGTGGGACCTTTCAGCATTCCGGTGGAGATCTTCATCCCTGCCAGTGGTAAGGAGGTGCAGAGCTGGATGTTGGGAATAGCCCAGGGCGTGCTTTCCATGAAGCCGTTTGGCATCACTCCTTCAGATGCTTTCCCTGTCAGACAAGGATCCTGATTTGGGAGCAGAAAAACCTCACTCCTCATTCCCTTTTTTCCTCATTCCCTTTTTTCCTCATTCCCTAATCCTTTGGGCTCTGCTGAAAACCCCTGGGAATTCCTGCCCCAAGCCCCAGGTGCTGCAGGCTGACTCTTTCACCGGCTCCATTAACAGGATGTTTTCTTAGGATTAATAACCTCAGCCCCCTCTTCGACTCCAGCCTCCGGGAATGCCGACTCCTTTGTCATAGCCCTGGGATTTATCTGCGGGACAATTGCCGTCGGAGTCATCCTCTGCTTGTCCGTGGTCATCCAGAAACGATGTGTAGAGACAAAATATGGGTAAGGGGATGGAAAACAGGGTGGCTCCCAAGGGGTGGGGGCCAGCAGCCCGTGCTGGATTTGGGGACAAGGATTCTGTCTCCAGGACTGATGTTGTTACCACAAATGACATTTTTTATGCCTGTGGTGAGGGACTAAGTGGGTTTTTCCTTCCCCTCCCTTCCTTAGCTCAGCAGTTCACCTTTTGCTCACTATTCCTATTTTTAAAGGGAAGTGAACTTGTGCAACTTGGTGGGGGAGATGTTTTGGCACGGAAACGAGAGAGCAGAGGGTGTCACTGGTCACCAGAGGGTGACCTGGACCCAAGGGAACAGCTGGAGCTGTATCAGGAGAGGTTAGGCTGCATTTTAGGAAATGATCCTTCCCCCAGAAGGAACTGAACAGGCTCTCCAGTGAATGGTCACAGCTCCAAGGCTGCCAGAGCTCCAGGAGCATTTGGACAACGCTCCCAGGGATGCACTGGGTGGGATTGTTGGGGTCTCTGTGCAGGGCCAGGAGCTGGACTGGATGATCCTCGTGGGTTCCTTTCAACTCCATGATTCTATGATCCCGTAATATCCCATGTCCTGGAGAAACCCTCCTGCCTCATCCCACGCCCGGGTTCAATGGCCCAGCATTGTTTAAAAACACAGACAAAGGGCTGTTTTCTCCTGCAATAACCCAGCACTCCTCACTCATCCTCGTGACTTCCCAAGTGGTGTTTAACTGCCCTGTGCTCCCAGTTTGGAAACTGGTACCGAGTAAGGATCCCTTTCCTAACTGGTTATTGTCACTCTTTCCCTGCTTTCCCAGTTCTGGAGCATCCTGCCCTGGTTTTGCATCCCAGAGCTGGACTCTGCAGGGCTCCAATAGTATTCCTGCTCTTTGAGTAGGAAATGAGTATCCTATTTCCTCCCCAAAAGCTCCGTGACTCACTCCTTGATGGTTCAGTGGTGTTTGTGGAGCTGTTGTTTTGCAGCTGATGTTGCAGGCAATGATGCTGATCCAGGAAAAAGGAAATAGAACATGCATTTCCCCTTTTCCTATGCATCCCCTGGGCTCCTACCCCTGCCATGCTGATTCCTTCATCCAGCTGAAGCAGCCACAGCAGATGTGTTTGTGTTCCCTTAGGAATGCTTTCAGCAGGAACAACTCTGAGCTGGCAGTGAACTACACAGCCAAGAAGTCCTACTGCCGGAGAGCCGTGGAACTGACCCGTAAGGATACGTTTTTATCCCTCTGGAAGGAGCTGGAAGGGGAAATGGCAGCAGGTGGGAGGTGCCTGAGCTCCTGTTCCCCTCTCTTGCAGTGGGAAGCCTGGGTGTCAGCAGGGAGCTGCAGCAGAAGCTGCAGGATGTTGTCGTGGACCGAAACGCCCTGAGCCTGGGAAAGGTCCTGGGAGAGGGTGAGTAAAACTTATCTCATTCCAACCTCTTGCCATGAGCAGGGAACCTTCCACGAGCCCAGCTTGTCCTCCTTCTGTCACTGATGAGGAGCAAGCCTTTTGGCTCCATCTTGGAGCATTCCAGATCTTAGGGGTCTGGTGATGTCCTGAAAGGTGGTGCTTTGGATAAAGGGATTCCTTCTTTCCTGTGGTGCAGGGGAGTTTGGATCCGTGATGGAGGGACGGCTCAGCCAGCCCGAAGGGCCCCCACAGAAGGTGGCTGTGAAGACCATGAAGTGTAAGTTGTCTCTCTGCCCCACTGGATACCAACATTCCCAGTACCTCTCCCAGGAACAGCATCCTGACACCATTTTGGTGTTCTAAAGCTCTTTCTTTCTCTTTGCTTCCCAGTGGATAACTTTTCCCAAAGGGAGATAGAAGAGTTTCTCAGTGAAGCAGCATGCATGAAGGACTTTGACCATCCCAATGTCATCAAGCTCCTCGGTATGAGCTGTCCATTCCCACCATCCAGCTGGGATTTGGGTGGACCTGGATCCCTTTTCCCAGGGCACTGTGTGAGTTGTCCATGTTTCCCAGGGGTGTGCATCGAGCTGAGCTCCCTGCAAGTGCCCAAGCCCATGGTGATCCTGCCGTTCATGAAGTACGGAGACCTGCACAGCTTCCTGCTCCGCTCCCGGCTGGAAATGGCCCCCCAGGTAGGGAGCTCCAGGAGCAGAGGAGTGGGATGGGATTGAGGTGGGAAGGGAATCCCCCTCAGCAGCTCCTGCAGGCTCGTGGGTCAATGAATGGCAGGGTCTGAGGGATGAGAGCTCATCTGCTGCCGTTGCCTCATCCATTGGGATGGCAGCACTGGATAGGGAAGCCTTTTGGATCAACACTGTGTAACCCCCACCTTCCCTCCCCAGTTTGTGCCCCTGCAGACCCTGGTGAAGTTCATGGTGGATATTGCCCTGGGCATGGAATACCTGAGCAGTCGGAACTTCCTCCACAGGGACTTGGCAGCTCGAAACTGCATGTGAGTGTTTTCCTCTGCTCCGTCCCACGGGATGAACCCTGTGGATTTCCAGCACAACCCTGCTCCTTTCAATAAAAGCTCTCTTGGTTTTGAGACCCAGAGCTCAGCCTGGGGTTTGTGTGCTCAGCCCTGATCCCTGTTTGCCCCCAGGCTGCGGGATGACATGACGGTGTGCGTGGCAGACTTCGGGCTCTCCAAGAAGATCTACAGCGGGGATTACTATCGGCAGGGCCGCATCGCCAAGATGCCGGTCAAGTGGATCGCCCTCGAGTCCCTGGCTGACCGTGTCTACACCACCAAGAGTGATGTGGTAGGTCCCTGTGCCTGGAGGGCTCTGTCCCTCTGGGCTGAGCCATGCCGTGCTGCTGTTGGTGTCATTCGCTGGAAGTGCAGGAGGCTGTCGGAGCCCTTCTGCCGCTGGCGCAGTCGGTTCCTTGAGTGGGCCCCTCGCCTCTGTCCTTGTCATTCCCAGTTTTGGGAGCACCACAGCTCTGCTCACTTTCCCTTGGATGCCAGGCAGTGACCTTTCCCCATGAAAAGGTTCATTCCATTCATTCTTCCTGGAAGTGTCCCTTCAGCCTTGGCCTTTTCCCTTTGTGCTGGCAGTGGGCATTTGGCGTCACCATGTGGGAGATCGCCACGCGCGGGATGACGCCGTACCCAGGGGTGCAGAACCACGAAATCTACGAGTACCTCTTCCATGGGCAGCGCCTGAAGAAGCCTGAGGATTGCCTGGATGAGCTGTGAGTCCTGGGATCCCAGCTGGGAAAATGGATTTTCCTAGGAACAAACCCCTTAATGTTTGCACAATGTGCCTAAGGAAAGCTGGATCCTGGAGCAGAGCATGTGTCAGCATCTGCTGAACTCCAGGCAAAAATCCCAACTATTATCCTTAGGGGAAGCAATGGGTTTGTAGGGCTGGCAAGGTCACCAGGAGCAGTCAGTGAAGGCACATTTTAGTATTTTATTTCTTTATTTTTGGATTTGTTTTGGCAAAAAGGTCCTCGATGGTGATGCTCCTCCTCTGTTCCACAAAACTCCCTCTAGGTCCCTTCCTTGCCTCAAATCTATAAATCTATGTCCCCCTGGAAAGAGAAATGCAGAATACACAAACCTTTGGATTTCTGAGCAGCTCAGCAAAGGACTTTTTCCCAAGCTTCTTTCCTGAGTTTTTCTCCAGTGCTGTTAGATCTGAAAATATTTAACCCCCCATGGCTGAGAGCTTTGAATCCCAACTGGATAAACAGAGTTGTACATTTCCTAAAAGGCTCCTCTCCACTGCCTGTTCCTGAAGGAAGCAGTGCAGGAACCTCTAAGAATCCAGCCTGCTGGAGGGCAGAGAGGCTGGCAGAGACATGCTGGGAGCTTCCAGGGCTCCCTGACATCCAGCTTGGGAGCAGGCACCTGCCAAGGGAAGGACTGGGCATCTCACACACAGAGCTGGGATGTTCCCAGGAAACAGATCCAGGGCTGCACTGGAAGAGACTTCTCACACTTCTAACAGCAGCTTGGGTTGATAAATCTGTGCCCTTGGGAAGCAGCCTGAGCAGAGGCAGTTGGTTTCACTTTGATTTAATGGGAATTTCAAGGCTTGCCCAGCTTGGAGGAAAACTGGGTCCCCATACCTCCCCTAATCCAGAGGAGTGCAGGCTGCCCGGAGAATCTGTGGCTGCTCCATCCCTGGAAGTGTTCAAAGACAGCTACCTGGGATGGTGGAAGGTGCCCCTGCCCATGCTAGCAGGGTGGGACTGGATGAGCTTCAAGGTCCCTTCCAAACCAAACCATTCTGGGATGCACAGCCCCCTGGGCTGAGCCATGCTGTGCTGCTGTTGGTGTCATTCCCTGGAAGTGCAGGAGGCTGTTGGAGCCCTTCTGCCACTGGCGCAGTCGGTTCCTTGAGTGGGCCCCTTGCCTCTGTCCTGGTCATTCCCAGTTTTGGGAGCACCACAGCTCTGCTCACTTTCCCTTGGATGCCAGGCAGTGACCTTTCCCCATGAAAAGGTTCATTCCATTCATTCTTCCTGGAAGTGTCCCTTCAGCCTTGGCCTTTTCCCTTTGTGCTGGCAGTGGGCATTTGGCGTCACCATGTGGGAGATCGCCACGCGCGGGATGACGCCGTACCCAGGGGTGCAGAACCACGAAATCTATGAGTACCTCTTCCATGGGCAGCGCCTGAAGAAGCCTGAGGATTGCCTGGATGAGCTGTGAGTCCTGGGATCCCAGCTGGGAAAATGGATTTTCCTAGGAACAAACCCCTTAATGTTTGCACAACGTGCCTAAGGAAAGCTGGATCCTGGAGCAGAGCATGTGTCAGCATCTGCTGAGCTCCAGGCAAAAATCCCAACTATTGTCCTTAGGGGAAGCAATGGGTTTGTAGGGCTGGCAAGGTCACCAGGAGCAGTCAGTGAAGGCACATTTTAGTATTTTATTTCTTTATTTTTGGATTTGTTTTGGCAAAAAAGGTCCTAGATGGTGATGCTCCTCCTCTGTTCCACAAAACTCCCTCTAGATCCCTTCCTTGCCTCAAATCTATAAATCTATGTCCCCCTGGAAAGAGAAATGCAGAATACACAAACCTTTGGATTTCTGAGCAGCTCAGCAAAGGACTTTTTCCCAAGCTTCTTTCCTGAGTTTTTCTCCAGTGCTGTTAGATCTGAAAATATTTAACCCCCCATGGCTGAGAGCTTTGAATCCCAACTGGATAAACAGAGTTGTACATTTCCTAAAAGGCTCCTCTCCACTGCCTGTTCCTGAAGGAAGCAGTGCAGGAACCTCTAAGAATCCAGCCTGCTGGAGGGCAGAGAGGCTGGCAGAGACATGCTGGGAGCTTCCAGGGCTCCCTGACATCCAGCCTGGGAGCAGGCACCTGCCAAGGGAAGGACTGGGCATCTCACACACAGAGCTGGGATGTTCCCAGGAAACAGATCCAGGGCTGCACTGGAAGAGACTTCTCACACTTCTAACAGCAGCTTGGGTTGATAAATCTGTGCCCTTGGGAAGCAGCCTGAGCAGAGGCAGTTGGTTTCACTTTGATTTAATGGGAATTTCAAGGCTTGCCCAGCTTGGAGGAAAACTGGGTCCCCATACCTCCCCTAATCCAGAGGAGTGCAGGCTGCCCGGAGAATCTGTGGCTGCTCCATCCCTGGAAGTGTTCAAAGACAGCTACCTGGGATGGTGGAAGGTGCCCCTGCCCATGCTAGCAGGGTGGGACTGGATGAGCTTCAAGGTCCCTTCCAAACCAAACCATTCTGGGATGCTGGGATCCTCTGTTAACCACACTCCTCTCCCAATTTCCAGGTATGAAATAATGTCTGAGTGCTGGAGAGCCGACCCTGCCACTCGCCCCACCTTCTCCCAGCTCAAAGTCCAGCTGGAGAAGCTGCTGGAAAACCTGCCCAGCGCCAAGGCATGCGGGGACATCATCTACATCAACACCGGCCTTCCCGAGCAGAGCCCGGACTCCACGCAAGATTCTGGCTTCCCGCAAGTGGACTCGGATTTGGATGCCGGGGAGGCGTCGGAGCCCGGCTCCCCCAGCGCGGAGGCGGCGCTGGTGGCTGTGGATGTGCATCCCAGCGAGCCGTGGGACACCAGGTACATTGTGGAGGAGCCCTATGTGCCACTGCTTCCCTGCCAGGCCTTGGAGGCGGGGAGCCGATGGAGCCAGGCCAGCACTTTGCCGGCGTCGGAGCGGCCGCGTGCCGGGAGCTGCGGGGAGGACTCGGAAGTGCCGCTGGGAATGGTGTGAGGGGCACCACAGCAAGGACACAGAGGGAGTATTTTAATAAACAGTCGTCTCTTTTATTTATTATCTCCTGCACGGTTTTCCTGGTGGAGGCTGGCTCTCCCCAGGAGCTTTTTCCTGGGCTGAAGTCCCAGGGGTTTGGAATTAACAGTGGAATTATTTTGCTGTAATTATTCATCTTCTCCAGAAGGAGCAGAGCAGGGTGGGGTGGATGGTGATGAGGGGCAGGTGGCCTTGCAGGGCCTGGTGTTTTCCCCCTTTTCCATCACGTGTTAAGGTTTGTGGGATGGGCATCCCCCTGGATGATGAGTGCTCCAGCTCTACAGAGTGCTGGGGGATTTCACACTGCAAGAGATCCCCATGGAAAACAGCAATGGGAGCCCCAATGGGAACAGTGGGTGCTCCCACATTCCCTTCTCCCTGACGGGTTTCCTTCCATCCCATCTGCATCCTAAGGAACCATCGCTCCTGCTGCAACCAGGGAGACAGGAGCCTGAGCGGGTCCCGGGAGGGCAGGAGGCCTCCAGACATGGCCTGGCCCTGCCCTTCTGCTCCTTCTCCTTTTGGGGGGAATTCTGCTTCTTCCATAGCTGGGCCTGCTCGGCAGCAACCAGAACTGGATCCAGCACCTCTTGCCTTTCCTTGGGGGAGACCAGGCTGGAAACGGGGGGACCGGGCTGGGGAGGGGGTGCAGCAGTTGGAGAAGGGGGTACCGAACCGGGGGCGGGGGTGTCTACACCACCAAGAGTGATGTGGTAGGTCCCTGTGCCTGGAGGGACAGCCCCCTGGGCTGAGCCATGCTGTGCTGCTGTTGGTGTCATTCCCTGGAAGTGCAGGAGGCTGTTGGAGCCCTTCTGCCACTGGCGCAGTCGGTTCCTTGAGTGGGCCCCTTGCCTCTGTCCTGGTCATTCCCAGTTTTGGGAGCACCACAGCTCTGCTCACTTTCCCTTGGATGCCAGGCAGTGACCTTTCCCCATGAAAAGGTTCATTCCATTCATTCTTCCTGGAAGTGTCCCTTCAGCCTTGGCCTTTTCCCTTTGTGCTGGCAGTGGGCATTTGGCGTCACCATGTGGGAGATCGCCACGCGCGGGATGACGCCGTACCCAGGGGTGCAGAACCACGAAATCTACGAGTACCTCTTCCATGGGCAGCGCCTGAAGAAGCCTGAGGATTGCCTGGATGAGCTGTGAGTCCTGGGATCCCAGCTGGGAAAATGGATTTTCCTAGGAACAAACCCCTTAATGTTTGCACAATGTGCCTAAGGAAAGCTGGATCCTGGAGCAGAGCATGTGTCAGCATCTGCTGAACTCCAGGCAAAAATCCCAACTATTATCCTTAGGGGAAGCAATGGGTTTGTAGGGCTGGCAAGGTCACCAGGAGCAGTCAGTGAAGGGACATTTTAGTATTTTATTTCTTTATTTTTGGATTTGTTTTGGCAAAAAGGTCCTCGATGGTGATGCTCCTCCTCTGTTCCACAAAACTCCCTCTAGATCCCTTCCTTGCCTCAAATCTATAAATCTATGTCCCCCTGGAAAGAGAAATGCAGAATACACAAACCTTTGGATTTCTGAGCAGCTCAGCAAAGGACTTTTTCCCAAGCTTCTTTCCTGAGTTTTTCTCCAGTGCTGTTAGATCTGAAAATATTTAACCCCCCATGGCTGAGAGCTTTGAATCCCAACTGGATAAACAGAGTTGTACATTTCCTAAAAGGCTCCTCTCCACTGCCTGTTCCTGAAGGAAGCAGTGCAGGAACCTCTAAGAATCCAGCCTGCTGGAGGGCAGAGAGGCTGGCAGAGACATGCTGGGAGCTTCCAGGGCTCCCTGACATCCAGCTTGGGAGCAGGCACCTGCCAAGGGAAGGACTGGGCATCTCACACACAGAGCTGGGATGTTCCCAGGAAACAGATCCAGGGCTGCACTGGAAGAGACTTCTCACACTTCTAACAGCAGCTTGGGCTGATAAATCCATGCCCTTGGGAAGCAGCCTGAGCAGAGGCAGTTGGTTTCACTTTGATTTAATGGGAATTTCAAGGCTTGCCCAGCTTGGAGGAAAACTGGGTCCCCATACCTCCCCTAATCCAGAGGAGTGCAGGCTGCCCGGAGAATCTGTGGCTGCTCCATCCCTGGAAGTGTTCAAAGACAGCTACCTGGGATGGTGGAAGGTGCCCCTGCCCATGCTAGCAGGGTGGGACTGGATGAGCTTCAAGGTCCCTTCCAAACCAAACCATTCTGGGATGCTGGGATCCTCTGTTAACCACACTCCTCTCCCAATTTCCAGGTATGAAATAATGTCTGAGTGCTGGAGAGCCGACCCTGCCACTCGCCCCACCTTCTCCCAGCTCAAAGTCCAGCTGGAGAAGCTGCTGGAAAACCTGCCCAGCGCCAAGGCATGCGGGGACATCATCTACATCAACACCGGCCTTCCCGAGCAGAGCCCGGACTCCACGCAAGATTCTGGCTTCCCGCAAGTGGACTCGGATTTGGATGCCGGGGAGGCGTCGGAGCCCGGCTCCCCCAGCGCGGAGGCGGCGCTGGTGGCTGTGGATGTGCATCCCAGCGAGCCGTGGGACACCAGGTACATTGTGGAGGAGCAGCTCGCTGGCCCCGTGGAGGAGCCCTATGTGCCACTGCTTCCCTGCCAGGCCTTGGAACCGGGGAGCCGATGGAGCCAGGCCAGCACTTTGCCGGCGTCGGAGCGGCCGCGTGCCGGGAGCTGCGGGGAGGACTCGGAAGTGCCGCTGGGAATGGTGTGAGGGGCACCACAGCAAGGACACAGAGGGAGTATTTTAATAAACAGTCGTCTCTTTTATTTATTATCTCCTGCACGGTTTTCCTGGTGGAGGCTGGCTCTCCCCAGGAGCTTTTTCCTGGGCTGAAGTCCCAGGGGTTTGGAATTAACAGTGGAATTATTTTGCTGTAATTATTCATCTTCTCCAGAAGGAGCAGAGCAGGGTGGGGTGGATGGTGATGAGGGGCAGGTGGCCTTGCAGGGCCTGGTGTTTTCCCCCTTTTCCATCACGTGTTAAGGTTTGTGGGATGGGCATCCCCCTGGATGATGAGTGCTCCAGCTCTACAGAGTGCTGGGGGATTTCACACTGCAAGAGATCCCCATGGAAAACAGCAATGGGAGCCCCAATGGGAACAGTGGGTGCTCCCACATTCCCTTCTCCCTGACGGGTTTCCTTCCATCCCATCTGCATCCTAAGGAACCATCGCTCCTGCTGCAACCAGGGAGACAGGAGCCTGAGGGGGTCCCGGGAGGGCAGGAGGCCTCCAGACATGGCCTGGCCCTGCCCTTCTGCTCCTTCTCCTTTTGGGGGGAATTCTGCTTCTTCCATAGCTGGGCCTGCTCGGCAGCAACCAGAACTGGATCCAGCACCTCTTGCCTTTCCTTGGGGGAGACCAGGCTGGAAACGGGGGGACCGGGCTGGGGAGGGGGTGCAGCAGTTGGAGAAGGGGGTACCGAACTGGGGGCGGGGGTTGCAGGAGCAGGGGAAGGCATTTTGGGACTGGGGAAAGGGATGCAGTGACTGAGATGGGGTGCAGTCGCTGGAAAACGGGGAACAGAGCTGGGGAGGGGCGCAGGGCTGGGAAAGGGTTTCCCTGCCCGGCGCGGGTGGTCCCGTCCCCGCGGGAGCCGGGGGGCTGACAGGGGCTCCTGCACGGTGCCCGCTCTCGGCAGCACCAGAAACAGCTTTCCTGGGGGAAAAGCCACCCTCCCGCGCCCCAGCCGCGGGGGTTGGATGCCCACAACGCCCCGCCGGTGTCCCGGGGGATGGATGCCCACAGAGCGCGGCCGGTGTCCCGGGGGATGGATGCCCACAGAGCCCGGCCGGTGTCCCGGGGGATGCGCGGGGCCGGCCCGGCGCCGGGGCGGGGAAGCGCCGCGTCCCCTGCACGGGGCAGCGCGGGGGCGGCGCGGGCGGGGCGGGGAGAGCGCGGGGTCTTGCCTTTCCTTGGGGGAGACCGGGCTGGAAACGGGGGGACCGGGCTGGGGAGGGGGTGCAGCAGTTGGAGAAGGGGGTACCGAACTGGGGGCGGGGGTTGCAGGAGCAGGGGAAGGCATTTTGGGACTGGGGAAAGGGATGCAGTGACTGAGATGGGGTGCAGTCGCTGGAAAACGGGGAACAGAGCTGGGGAGGGGCGCAGGGCTGGGAAAGGGTTTCCCTGCCCGGCGCGGGTGGTCCCGTCCCCGCGGGAGCCGGGGGGCTGACAGGGGCTCCTGCACGGTGCCCGCTCTCGGCAGCACCAGAAACAGCTTTCCTGGGGGAAAAGCCACCCTCCCGCGCCCCAGCCGCGGGGGTTGGATGCCCACAACGCCCCGCCGGTGTCCCGGGGGATGGATGCCCACAGAGCGCGGCCGGTGTCCCGGGGGATGGATGCCCACAGAGCCCGGCCGGTGTCCCGGGGGATGCGCGGGGCCGGCCCGGCGCCGGGGCGGGGAAGCGCCGCGTCCCCTGCACGGGGCAGCGCGGGGGCGGCGCGGGCGGGGCGGGGAGAGCGCGGGCCGCTCCCGGCCGCGCCGGCCGCCCAGGTGAGGGGGGACCGGGACCCCGGGAGGGGCTTTGGGGGGGCGCGGGGTTCCTCTCCGCTTCTCGCTCGCTGCCCGCTGCCGTGAGCCCCGACAGCCCCGCAGCGCTGCCCGCGCCGCTGCCCCGGCAAACAGGTGGGCAAAGCCCCAGCCCGCGCTCAAACTGCACATGAGCCGCGCCTAAAGCGCGCGCGGCTTCTTTTGGGCTCTTTTCGCCCTTACCCCCCGCCTGAAGCTGCCCCCCCCCAGCACACCGGGAGCAAAGGATCCCCGTTTGGGGCTTTTGGGGGGGGATTTTCCAGCTTTGCGATGGCTCAGCATCCCGCCGGAGCTCGCGCTGGCTCACGGAGTTAAACCCAGCCCTAACAAAGAGCTGTTTATTAAAGCCAGCGACGCGCCAGCATCTATTTGCTTTTGCCTCCCTTCCTCTGGACTCGGGGTATTCCAGAGCTGCCAGCACAGCACGGCTCATCCCCCCCGGCAGCCCGGGACCCCCGAACCTGCTCCCAAGGAAGCAGAGGACACCGAGCGCATTGCTTGGGCTGCTGTGTTTGTCCTCTCTCCACCCTCAGCAGCTCTTTGGAAACGGGAATCATTCCACAGTGCTGTTATGGAAAGGGGGGAAGAAATCCCTTCGACCAGGTGGGACAGAGCCCACCACCTCCGCTCGCTTTCCTGGAATTCCATAGCCCCCCAGCCCAGACCCTGTGCGCTCTCTCCTCACTGCGCTCCCCAGATTTCTGGGCTCTGGGAACGGCTTTGCTCTTTTTCCTCGGTTTCAAGTCAATTCCGCAGGAATCCCATAATAACGGTGCCCGTCTCCGGCATGAGTCAGTCCCGTGGGAGCGATCGGTTTGCAGGCAGGAGTCCCACCAGCGTTCCTGGCCACGGCAGAGCTCACAAGACAGCTGTTTTCCTCTTCTTTTGTCATGTGGAAGTGGGACAGGGCTGGAGCTCCTGCAGGATGAAACATGAGTTATAGCATCTCTCCCACAAAGCGATCCCAGTCCTGCCTGGAGTGCAGGCCTAGGTGGAAAAAACTCCTGGATCTGGATAAATGCAGGGAAAAATACAAAGTCAGTGCGCTCAGGGAACATCGGATGCTGCGGAACTCCCGCTCCGGCCTCCTCCCACGGGCAGCAGGTTGGCTCCTGGGAGGAGGGGCAGCACAGGGAGGTCCCCATCCCTTTCCCTATCCCTGTTCCCGCAGAGCTGCCTCAGCAGGCAGCAGCTCCTGGCTGCCATCCGGCAGATGCAGCAGCTGCTGAAGGGGCAGGAGACGCGGTTCTCCGAAGGGCTGCGCGCTGTGAGGAGCCGCCTGAGCACCATCCACGCCTCCCTGGCCAAGGCTGCCCCAGAGCCGCCCGCCGGTGAGTCCCTGGGACAGCATTCCAGGGAAACAGGGTGGCTTGGAAGGATAGGGCCCCCTCTAAACTCATCCCCTTTCCATGGTCTTGCAGCCACCTGTCCTGCCCTCCAAGCCCCTGCCGATGGGAGGAAGTTTGGCACCAAATATTTGGTGGATCACGAGGTTCACTTCGCCTGTGATCCAGGATTCCAGCTCCTGGGCTCCAGCACACGGATATGCCAGGCCAACGGCAGCTGGACAGGGCAGGAGGCCCGCTGTGCAGGTACTGCTCATTGCCTGCCCTGGAATATCCTTTGGGAAAATGGATTTATATAAACACAGGGGGGTATCGAGGTGCTCAAATGGGGAGGGATCACAGCTACCCCCCAAAGTTCCAGGGATGCTGCAGCTCCCATGGTTTTGGGATTTCTCTGTCTTAAGGAAAACTGGGAATTACAGCTGGAGCAGCTCAGCAGGAGAGATGAGGGGAAATGGTATCCTGGCTATGACGTGCCACAGGGTACCAAAGCATCCCGGTGTGTGCAGCACTCCTGAGCCTTGCTTCCCAAAAGGAGATAACATGGAATGTGGCTGCTTTTCCCGCAGAGATCAGAGAGTGCTCAAGCAGCCCCTGCCAGAATGGCGGGACGTGCCTGGAGGGTCTCAACCACTTCAAATGCCTCTGTCCCCCGCAGTGGACCGGAGCCACGTGCCAGTACCAGGCTCAGACTGGTGGGTGACCCTTGCTGGGGGATAAATGGGAGTATTTCATCCCCCACCTCATCCCAACTCCCCATCCCGCCGTTTTCCCGCAGCTCCTCCCACCTGGAGCGTGACGGACGACCCGGCCTTCAGCCGGCAGCCCCGCTGTGCCCAGATCGCCCAGACCCAGCAGTGCAGCTGCGATCCCGGCTTCCACATGAGCGGCACGGCTTCCAACGGGATCTGCCAGGGTGAGCCGGGATACGGGAGGGCTGCGCGGCTGCCTCGGTGCCTGATCCCCTCACAGTGTCACGGAGTCACATTGGGAGGGATCGCAGCGGCTCAGCCCCACCATCCCAGAGCACACGGCACGGGATGTGCTGGGTCCAGCTGGTTCTGGAATACCTCCAGCGGGGGCTGCTCCAAGCTCCCTCAGGAGGCTCCAGCTCCTTGATCCAAGCCATGGATGGCTGAGTGCAAACTGGACCCAGTGTCGCCCTCTGCGGGACACCGCGCGTCACAGCCCCCAAGCAGCCGCCGTGCTGCTGCTCCCATTCCCTGGAATCTGCCGTCAGCCCCTTCCCAACCCACCTCATGCCCGCTCCTCCAGCCCGCGCTCGCTCCCTGGATTTTCCCAGGAGGCTGGAGTGAGACCTTGTGAATCCCTGTCTCCGCAGATCTCAACGAGTGCGAGGTGTACCAGCAGCAAGGGGGACCCCGGCTCTGCGCCCACGCTTGTGTCAACATTCCCGGCTCCTTCCACTGCTCCTGCCCCGCCGGATACGTCCTGCTGGGCGACGGCAAGAGCTGCGAAGGTGAGGAGGCTGGAATCCCCTTGGTCCCAAGTGCTCTGCCATTTTCCCCCACTTTTTTCTCCATATCCAAGGGAAAGGCTGGTATAGAGGGGAGGGGGGCGATGGAGTGATGCTTTGCAGGATGGCAGCGGATGGAGGATGTTTGGATTGGCAGGAGCTCCAGCTGGATGCAGAGCTGGGTGGGGAAATGAATCCCAGGGTTGTGCTGGGGAAGGGAAAACTCCACCAGAGTGCTTCAAAAGAAAACCTAAAAATGAAAATAAAATGCTTTTCTGGAAGCATGGCTGCACTTCTCCCTCTCCCTCCTATCCCTTTCCCTCTCCCCTCTCCTTTACTTCTCTGGATGATGGAGCCACACTTTGGGTCTGCACCTCCTTCAAGATGATCCCACTGTGGCTGTAGGGGATGTTCCTGGAGCAGGGAATTCCTGTAAAAAACCAAAAGTAATGTTAAACCTCCAGAATTCCATGATCAGTTCAGAGAGTGGCAGCATCTCCCCCAATCCAAGGAAACTGGGGTGCAGGTGGAAGGCAGCGGGTGGGAATGGTGGGAGGCCAAAACTGCTGAAAGGCTCCTGTAAAACAGGGAATTTTTTGTGCCCTGAAGTGTTGATTGCTGCAGTTCAGGGTGAGAAAATCCCTATTTCCCCATTCCTTCCTGATTTTCCTGTATTCCGTGGCATCTCACTAATGCTCCCAGCAAATCCTCTGCATTCCAGCTCCTGCCATGCGTCCCACGGGTGTTCAGTAAATAAAAAGGGACGGTGTTTCCAAACAATCAAGCAGAAAGTTTGGAAAAGCAGCTGTCTTCCTGCTGGCAGAGAGCTGCTCTTAACCCATGCTGGCCTGGGGCAGACCTTGGGGAGAGAAGACGGAATTCCAGGATGCTCCCATATTTTTTGGATCGCGTTTAACCTGTTTCAAGGTGGTTTTGCCTATTTTCTGATGGAAAGGTGAGCTCAGTTGGAGGCTTCCAGGCCCTGACCCCGCTTCCCGCCCCTGTTTTCCAGATATTGATGAGTGCTCCCTATCCCAGGACAACTGCACAAGCGGGAGCACCTGCATCAACACCGGGGGGGGATTCCAGTGCGTCACCCCCCAGTGTCCCCCGCCCGCCGGCAACGTCTCCTACGTCAAAACCTCCCCCTTGTAAGTGCGGGGCACAAAATCCACGGCACAGCATCCCTATGGATCCAGTGCCAGCGAGGTGGGGGGCGCGGAGGCCACGTTCCCGAAAAATCTCCCGTTGCTTTTCCTTTTTGCAGCCAGTGCGAGCGCAACCCGTGCCCCATGGAGAGTCGCTCGTGCCACCAGGCCCCCAAAACCATCTCCTTCCATTACCTCCCTCTTCCCTCCAAGCTGCAGACTCCGGCGCCGCTGTTCCGCATGGCCACGGCGGCGGCTCCCGGCCGGCCGGGCCCCGACAGCCTCCGCTTCGGCATCGCGGGCGGGAACAACCGCGGGCACTTCGTGGTGCAGCGCTCGGACCGGCACACCGGGGAGCTGCTGCTGGTGCAGAGCCTGCAGGGGCCCCGCACCATCCACGTGGACGTGGACATGGCCGAGTACCTGGATCGCGCGTTCCAGGCCAAGCACCTCTCCAAAATCACTCTCTTCGTCTCGGCTTACGAGTTCTAGGGGTGGCTCCTGCTCCCTGCTCGGCATCCCGCGGCTCCCAGGGGAAGTCCAGGCTGGAGCTGCTCTGTAGACATCCGGCTCAATCCTTGCTCTGTCCCAAAGTTGTTCTTCCCATGCGGATTTACACGTATCTAGGTGGATTTACACCACCAAATGAGGTGGACAAGCAGTGAGAAGCCCCATCCTCATCCCGGCTCCACAGCCCTGAAGGAAACCACAGCCCTGATTTCCTTTGAATTCCCATTTTTTTCCTTAAGGAAGCAGTGAAGCCAAGTGTGTGGGAAGAGGGAGGCTCGTGGCCTTTCCTGCTCCCCTCCCTTGTTGCACCCAGTCCTGCTCCCTAAAAACACACTTCACTTCCCTTTGGATGCTGAGAATTCCCCTGGCAGCCTGTGGGGATCGAGGTCTGGTGCCTCAATCCCCTGGGATTGACCAGAGCTGGAGCACTCCATGAACATCCACCTGGGTGTCCTCCTTGGCAAGTGGGGCAAAGGAGGAATTCCAGGGCTATCCCTGCTCCTTAAACCTCTCAAATGGGGATCCCCCATGGATCCTCCTCACAGCAGAGCTTCAGCTGCATGTGGAGGTGGGAATATTCCCTGCTTCATCAGTGAGAGCCTCCATCCTGACGTAGGAATGCTGAGAAGAGCTGGGATTCAGCTTTTCCCATGGGGATTCACCCTCCTGCTTGTGCATGTTCTGCATGTTCCCTCATCCCACTGGATTTAGTACAATTAAAGGATGATGTAAAGGATGTCACTGGAGTGAAGCACCTGATGGATGTGTGGATGGGGGAATGCTCACCCGGAGCAGTCCAAGGGAAATTGGGGTCTGGGAGGGCAAGAACCTGTTATCCATGGTTTTATTTTCCTGCGTTTTGTTTGGGAGGGGCTGGCTAATAGCAGGGGGCTCATTCCCACCGGAGCATCCTCATCCCTGAGCATTTTCAGCCTGGAGCATCCTTCCCCCCAAGGAATCCTCACCCTGGGAATCCTCATCCCTGAGCATTGTTTCCCCTGGGAATTCTCACTCCCTTACATCCTGCTGAGCTGCACCCACTAAAACCATTCCCACTCCTTGTCCTGGGGAAAGAGACTTCCCAAGATGGATTTGTCTCCTCTGGGGGATTGAGCTCCTGGATTTTGGGGGGATATAGGAGCCTGGGAAGGGGTTGGATCTCTCCAGCAGAACAAGAAGGGACATTCAGGGCTGCTGTCGGCGGATGGAGGATGTTTGGATTGGCGGGAGCTCCGGCTGGACGTGGAGCTGGGCAGGAAAATGTATCCCAGGGTTGTGCTGGGGGAGGGAAGGGAAAACTCCAGAGTGCTTCAAAAATATCCCCAAAAATTAGGAGAAAATGCTTTTCTAGAAGCACGGCTGCTCCTCTCCCTGCCGCTTCCCAGCCTGGCTGGACATGCTCCTCCAACAGGCCATGACCCTGCTGTGGGATGATAACAAAATCTGGGAGCTGAAAACCAGGAATCTGGGAGAGGACAAGCTCCTGACAAGGCAGAATAGTTTCCATCTGCTGCTTTCTCCGGATAACACAGCTGGAGACGGGCGCCTGGACCACGCTCCGGAGGCTTTTCCTTGCGGCACCATCCCAAACTGACAACATTTTCCTAATTCCCGAGGCCAGGGTGAGCTGGTTTCTCCCTTCCAGCCCTGGAAAAGTTTAAGTTCGGCTCTTTGCCTTTCTCAACCTCTGGCTGCCATTCCAATTGACTAAAGGAGATTTTTTTTCCCTTCCCAGAGCAGCCGCTCCGGCATCTTTCAGACTTCCTGAGGTCGGAATTTGCAGAGCGAGGCTCTTCTGGTCTTGAAACACAGCTTTCATTTGGGAAAACGATATCTGGGAGCTGAAAAAATAGCAGGAATGCTTCTGCTTCCCTTCGGTGGGCACAGCTGGCCCCAGATGTGCTGTCCCAAAACCACCATTTCTCACCCCAGAATATTTAACCAAAACTTTAGGATTCTTCCTTCGAGTCCAGATTTAGAATCCCTTTTTTTCCTTGCCTATGGCCTGGAGAGATGGTGCTGAGTCCTGTGGGCATCAGCTCCAGGGCTCCACCTGTGCTGATGGGGATAATTAGTCCTAAGCAGCCCTAATGACGCTCCCCAGCCGCCGCCACCTCGTCCCCTGTGGGAATGCTGTTTTCCAGCCTTTTCCTTGGATTTACCTGATTTCCCTGATGATCTGGACCCTGGGTCCTGTTTGCCTTGCTCAGGTGTGCGAGGCCCAAGGGAGAAGATTCTTCCCTTAAGGATCTGAGGCTCCTCCCGCTCGGAATGCCATGGGAATCCATGCGAGCGTTCCGCCTTGTTTTTATAAAGTTTATTCGGTTGCTAGCACCGAATAAAGCCGAGTTCTGTGTCCTGAAAAGCCCCGAGAGGCAGGGAAACAGCCTGGACAGGATAAAAATGTAACTTTTCCCGGGAACGTTTTGATTAAACGTCATTGAAGTGACTCTGACAAACACGTCTTCCCTTCGCCCACCGCATTTTTATTAAGTGACTGTCTTGGAACCACTTTATCGCGGGTTTTATCACGCCCTGACCCCGACGGCGACTCCAGGGACCGCTTCTGTCCCGCCCCGGGGCCACACACTCTCGGTTTAATTACGAGCGTCACTAATTAATGACGCACGGGCCGCTTCCCCTCACACACACCGGCCGCCAGGGGGCGCTGCCCACAGTGCGTGAGGGGAGGGGGGGCGGCGGCCATGACGCAGTGGCGGGAGGGGAGGCCCATTCCTACTCCCGGTGCCCGTCCCGGTTCTCGCCAGGCGGAAGCCGCCGCCCTTTTCCCCCTTTCCCTCCCTTTTCCCCCCTCTTTCCCCACCATTCCCGGGGGGACGCCGCCACCACGTGACGGGCGCGGGGCACGTGACACCACGCGCGGCGAGGCCCCGCCCCCTTCGCGCGCGCACGGCGGCGGCGGCGGCCGAGGGGAAGCGGAGGAGGGCGGGGCCCGCGCGTGACGTCGCCGCGAGGTTGACGGGCGTGGCTGAAAGCCAATGAGCGCGCGAGACGCCGCGGCCGCGGCCAATGGCGGCGCGCGGGGGGGGCGGGCCCAGAGCCGCGGCGGAGGAGGAGGAGGAGGAGCGCGGCGGGCGGCGGCGGCGTGAGGGGACGCGACGACATCGCGGCCCCGGCGGGCTCGGAAGACGCTGTGGCGGCGGTGGCGGCGTGTGCGGGCCGCGGGCGCTGAGCGAGCGTGTGCGGGCAAAGCGCCGGGGGCCGCTGCCGCCGCTGCTGCTGCCGCCGTTCTCCTCCTCCTCCTTCTCTTCCCTCAGCCGCCGCCGCCATTTTGTGCGAGTGCCTCGCGCGGGCGCCATGTTTGTAAGGAAGAATTAGGGCCGCCATCTCCGGCCAGCAGCACCTCCCTCCCCCCGTGTGTGTGTCCTCCCGCTCTCCTGTGCCCCGGGGCTGCCGCTCGAGCCGCCGCCGCCGCCACCGCCTCCCCGCAGCGCCCGCGCGGGGCGGCCGGGCCCGGGCGCTGAGTGCCCGTTAGTGTCTCACTAAGTAACCGTGAGTGCAAACCTTCATCATCTCTCCTCACTGAGGGGCCCGGCCCTCCTCCTCCTCCTCACCGAGCCGCCCCCAGCGCGGCCGTGCGCGCCGCCGCCGCCGCCGCCTCCTCCCGCCGCTCCGCACCGCGGGCAGCGGCGGGGCCCTGCCTTCCTCCACCTCCCTCCTCCTCCTCCTCCTCACCACACCACAGCCAGGCACAATGGCCTTTGAAAGCCTGTTCTCCAAACCCCCAAACCCAGTTCTTGACCCAAACATGCCCGACTCTGACAGGCAACATGCAGGGGACGAAAGGTCGAGTAACATTCTTCTCTCTCTCCGCTTCTCATAATGGTGGTACTTAGTGGGGTGATGCTGGTAATGATGATGATGATGCTGATGCTGATGATGATGCTCTGTTAATGTGCCTGAGGGGGTTAACGATGTTTTTGGGGGGCAGGTCACCTTCAGGCTGGAGCGGGGTGGTGGTGGTGGGGAATGCAAATTGGGGAGGGGGGTGTCACTGCATTAAAAGTGCATTTTTTTTAGCAAGGTTTTAATTTTTCCTTTTGGAATGCATGCGTTTTTACATCTTCATTGATTTATTCTGGCTGGGAAGGGGGGCTGTTTGCCATTCTTTCCATAAATTGCACTTTCCAGGGGGTGTCTGTTGAATGTCACCATTGTTCTCTGTCTCAGGCAGGAAAGGGTGCTCCGAGTTGGGCGGGTTTTTTATTTTTGGCTGTTTTTGTTGATACCACAATCTCTCACTAGAGCCATATTTAACGTCATTTTCTTGCCAGATTCCACCTTACACATTTAACTGGATCTTTTTTATGCAGATTAAGGGCTGACTGACGTTATCTTTGCCACCTCTCAATCCCCATGCGCAGAAACCCAGAGTCCTGTTCCTGGTGAAAGGACCTCTGTTGCTCCCTCCCTCCTTCCCTCCCTCCTTTTCTCTCCTGCAGCTGCTGGAAATTCAAATCCTTTCTCCAGGCAGCTCTGGCCTTCCTAACTAGTTCCAAAAATACTGTGCCAGGGTGGCAGTTACCAGTGCTTGAGCCTACATCAACCCTGAGCATTCCTGACAAAGCTGCAGGAGTTAAAAACTCCGGGGTTTTGGCATTCCCAGGGCTTGGCCTCCTCCCACACAGCTCCACAACCATTTGTGGTACTTCAGAGGACAGGGAAACACTGGGAAAAAACCAAACAAACAGACGAACAACAAAAAGAAAAGCTTGTGGGTAAATGCAAAACTGTTTCCTCGTTGGAGAAAAGAGTCCCGAGTTCTGTGTTATAAATTGGGAAGTGGTCCCAAAATGCTCCTCGGGTTTAGTGCAAGGGTCAGGGCAGAGCCCAGAGCTGCTGGTGCTTGTTTTCCCCTTTCTGCTTGTCCTTGGGAAATGCTCCTGGGATTCAGTGCAAGGGCCAGGGCAGAGCCCAGAGCTGCTGGTGCTTGTTTTCCACTTCCTGGTTGTCCTCGGGAAGTGATCCCTAAAATGGGCCTGGGGTTTAGTGCAAGTCCAAGGCAGAGCCCAGAGCTACTGGGTCTTGTCTTCCCCTTCCTGCTTGTCCTTGGCAGGGGTGGAAGTTGTGTCACGCTCTGAGTGCACACCAGGAACCCGCTGGGATCTCTGGAGCTGGGGCAGAGCTGTGCTGTGGAGTTCCTGCAATCAGGCTGTGACTTTTCACTGTTTCAGGGATTGAAAATATCTGGAGTTCTCAAATCCTTGAGGACAAGCCCGAGTGACTCCGGGTAGTGCTGGGAGCAGAGTTTTTCCAGCTTGGAGTTCTCATCCTCTCACCAGCTGTTCCCACCAGTACAACCAGTTGTGACACTGGTAATTGTGAAATAGAGCCAATAAGTGCCACCTAACAACCTAATTAATTTTAATTTACAAGTGTTGCTTTGTAATGTTTTAATTTATGAGGTGAAGAGCAACAATACACACGACGTGGGAGATCATAACTTGTACTTTTTCTAAAACTTTAGCTCTGTAAAATGAGTTCATTCACTTCAAAAAAGGCCCAACTTGTGTTACATCAGGTGTGCAAATGTAGGACCAGTAAAACCAGTTCACTGCAGGCAACACCCATACTGGCAACCTCGTGATTCCCAATCAATTTGTGCAGCAGCAGGAATTCTGTTAATAGTTTGATGTGAGTTGATCTGTTGAATGATAAAGAAATTACTTAGTAAAGAATAATTTTTAAAACCCTGTCTGTCCACACTTTGAATATTCCAATTTGGAAGGTTGTTTTAATGCAGTTTTCTCAAGACAGGAATGTTCTTTAATTAGTTTTAGTTAATTCCTGTTGTTGACAATATTTTGGTGATGAAGGGTCTGAGCCTTCCAGCACAGAGGTCCTGGAAAGATTTTTTCTGCAAGGATTTTGTGAGGCTTTCTTGGTTGTGTGTGGGTAAATCCATGGCAGGGTAAGGAAAAAGTTGGAGGCAAGTTTCTTTACACACAAATCAGTGCCAGATTTCCCAGAAAATAGCTTGAAATTAATTTACTTTCACTTTTTACTGCTCCCAGCCACCCTCTGCTTTTATTTGATTTTCCCAGTGAAAATTCTCTGTTGTTTGGAGTTATTTTCCTTATTAATTCCTAATTTCTTAAGCAGCACCCTAGTATCAAAATTTGGGGAATTTTAGCCATCAGGAAATTTTAACCTAAAGTAAAATTGTTTTTAAATAAAAAGATGGGGAATGAAAATTTAAAAACCTCAATAATGTTTGAGGTTAAAGATTCCCAGAATATTTCAGAAAATGCATCCTGGGTTTGGAATCTGTTGAATGATAAAGAAATTACTTAGAATAATTTTTAAAAGAATAATTTTTAAAACCCTGTCTGTCCACACTTTGAATATTCCAATTTGGAAGGTTGTTTTAATGCAGTTTTCTCAAGACAGGAATGTTCTTTAATTAGTTTTAGTTAATTCCTGTTGTTGACAATATTTTGGTGATGAAGGGTCTGAGCCTTCCAGCACAGAGGTCCTGGAAAGATTTTTTCTGCAAGGATTTTGTGAGGCTTTCTTGGTTGTGTGTGGGTAAATCCATGGCAGGGTAAGGAAAAAGTTGGAGGCAAGTTTCTTTACACACAAATCAGTGCCAGATTTCCCAGAAAATAGCTTGAAATTAATTTACTTTCACTTTTTACTGCTCCCAGCCACCCTCTGCTTTTATTTGATTTTCCCAGTGAAAATTCTCTGTTGTTTGGAGTTATTTTCCTTATTAATTCCTAATTTCTTAAGCAGCACCTTAGTATCAAAATTTGGGGAATTTTAGCCATCAGGAAATTTTAACCTAAAGTAAAATTGTTTTTAAATAAAAAGATGGGGAATGAAAATTTAAAAACCTCAATAATGTTTGAGGTTAAAGATTCCCAGAATATTTCAGAAAATGCATCCTGGGTTTGGATCTTGGACTTAAGGAGCTTCTAGAGTAAATCTTCTTTGGGCATAAGGAATTCTATTTTTAAGGATGACCTGAAATAAGGTCAAGGAAGGGGAGCTAAAATCCAGGTCTGGAGGTTAGAAATAAAATTAAAGTACCAGAATTAGGATTTTTTCATTCTTCCTTCCCAAATATTTGTGGAACTGCCCAGGGATTTCGTCAGGTTGCTTTTCCCTGGAAGATCATTTGGCTTCTGTGCCTTTCTGATCCATTTGAGAGCTGCTCTAGGAATCCACTCAGACAGTGGGAATGTTTTCTGGGATTATTTTCACATATCCATCTAGATCCAAGTGTCTGGAGGTTGTGGGAGAGGGGGGAACTTGTGAGAAGGAGGTTCTGCTCTCCCTTCCTGGTGCACAGCTCCAGTTTGGGATTGAAATGGGAATAAAAGCAGCTAAACCAGACGAGAATTCCTGCCTTGGCACTTCCTTGAAAAATAATTGACTTTCCAAGAAATGGTATATTTGACCATTATCTTTTCAATCCATATTTATCCAGTTGTTGGGTTTTTCCTTCTTTTTCCTTCTTTTTCCTTCTCCCCCCACCTTTTCTTTTTTTTTTTTTTTTCCTTCATTCTTGAAGCTCAGTCCTTGGAAAATGCTTTGGATGTTGTGGAAAGAACTTTAGAGATTAGAGGACTTTTGTAATCTTCCCTCTGCCATGCAATCCAAGGGATTGTATTACTGAGACTGGTTTACTTGGAAAGTTATTCCAGTCCTGGATGTGGATCCCAGAAGTGGAAATCCATGAGTGTAATTCCCAGAGGAACTGGGACATGGGAACAACTTGTTCCCAAGGAGCATTTTCTGTAGGTGTTTTATGGAAGAGGATATTTTAATTGATCCTTGAGGGAATGAGTTTAACTGGTATCATCAAAACATAATTGGATTTTTGGGATAGCTGCAGGTGTTTCAGGGATATTAATGTTCCAGTTTTATTTCATTAATGTAATTTCAAAAAATTCCAAGTCATATAGCAGTCGTGTCTTCTCCCTGGCATATCCATTTATCCCAAAAATCACAGCTTGGGGTTGCTTCAGACTTCATAACTGTTTTTTTCCAGTGACAGGTGAGCTGGATGATAACATGCAATTTTATTGTCTTCTTGGTATCCCTCTTCCAGGGAAGATGGAGAGCTGGAAGATGGGGAAATAGATGATGCAGCCTATGAGGATGTGAAGGAACACGGCTCAAAAGGGGACGATAAACAGAAAAACGAGAAAGGCCACCGGAAATCCCGGAAAAAACGCAAAAAAGAGAAGGAAAAGAAAAAATCCAAAAGAAGAAGACGGGACAAGCATAAGGTTAGGGAAAAACCCAATATTTTGGAAGTGCTGATTTGATTTAGGGGTGTCCATGACAAGGATCCAAGAAATTGGCAAAGGAACTAAAATGGTTTTATTACCATTAAGAATTAAAGTGGTCTTAAATGTTCAAAGTCAAGCCCAGGACTTGGAAGCTGAACCAGTTTTTAGGATAAGATGCACAATGTAAATTTATCACTTTTGTGCTCATTATATTTATGGAAGGAAGATGATTTCCTCAAAATTCCCAGCTTTTTTGTTCTGTTTTCTAGCATAACTCCCCTTCCAGCGATGACAGTTCCGACTACAGCCACGACTCCGACATGGAGCGCACGGAAAGGCCCCACAAAAAAAGCAGCAGCTCTTCCTACAGGGATTATGATTCCTCCTTCAGTCAGGTAGGAAGTTTCAAACTCATTCCTCATGTCCTTATTGAGGTGACATTCCAAAAATACAAATATAAACAGCGTGGGTTTGGAAGTTTGGCTCCATCCTTGTGCCTGTTCTCCTGGATTTCTGGAAGCACATCCAGTTCTCATCTCCCTGAGGAGATTCCCAGATGTAAAGCAGGATCTGTGGTAGAAAATAAGCCTGATACCAATTTTTCTTCCATCAGGCATCAGGAATTAAGGGATCTTTATTATTAAGGAATCTTTTTATTGCCTGCACTGGATTTAGGCTGGACTCAAAGGACAAAACTCTTGAAAAGCCACTTTTCAATATCTAAAGTTGATCCTGCTTTTTGGGAGCTCAATTTTCTTGGCTTTTTTCAGCTGGTGAATTAAAATTATTAATTTTTCCTGAATAGCTGATTTTCCCTGTCTTACTGATACTTTTTTTGGGCAGTTCTGGTAATGATAAAAAAATCTCCATAAATAGATTTTTAGAGCAGTTTGGAGGGGTGGGATTTGGAAATATGGAATTGCTTCCTAACGCAGTGCCTTTCCTTATAGCATGGACACGTGTCAGGGAATTACATGAGTTCCCAGAAAATGCAGCATAAAAAAAATGTCAAAAGTAAGGAATATGACAACTACAGTCATTACAGTGACGAAAACTTTGGCAATTACAACGAGGAGGAAAAGGATGAGGATTTTGCTGACCAGCTCAAACAGTACAGACAAGCTAAAGAGACTTCCAGTGGGGATTTGGGACCTCCATTCCCGAAGGAACCAGTGAAGAAACAGGGCATGAAAGGGATCCAGAAAGGTAAGGGGAGTTTTGGTGGCATTTTTGGGGTGGAGACTTGGATGAGGGAAGCTGCCAGGGATGGTTTTCCTGGGATATTTTGGCTGGTCAGAAATAACATTTTCAACAGTAGAAAGGGAGGGATTTAATTTATTCCATTTGTCTCTCTTTGATGCCATGAGAGAATAATTTTCCCTTAATTTCTGTGATCCTTTTATGAGGTTATTCCTGTTTTCCAGGCATTTCCCAACGAGGGAACAACTACAACGTTGGAAGAGGGCGTGGAATGCAAAAGAAACTGAAGCGCAAAGATCGCGGCAGGGGCAGAGGTGGCAATAAAGGATCCGATGGCTTCCATGAGGTACCTGCAATTCCAGTCCTTATTCCCAATATCTGCATCACCAGTGCTCCAAGAAGGAGCTGATAAAATGTGGATTTTTTTTTTTTCCAGGATGGCAAACCAGTGAAGAAATGGGTTAATATGAGCCAGGAGTTCATCAACCAGCACACAGTGGAGCACAAGGGCAAACAGATCTGTAAATACTTCCTTGAAGGGAGGTGCATTAAGGTAAATTTAATTATTTTTTAAGATAAATTTTTAGCAAACTTGGGTGTTGAAACTCAATATTTTGATTTCTGGTGTGCTAAGGATTTCTAGATGGAATTACTTGTGGAAAAACATCCCCTTCTGTTACACATTTTGATTTAAATTATAATAAAAATTGATGCTTTTATTAATAAAAACATCTTAAACTTACCCTGAGAATGATAATGTACTAATGCCATAATTTCTCACAAGTATGGAATCTAAACAGGCAATAATTCCTGAATATATTAAATTATTTCCTGCTTATTTGGAAACTGCTTTGTGGTGCTAAACTTTAAAAAGTGGGATTGTTAGAAAACACAACCACTGAATGCTTCTCATTTTTATTTGGTTCCTTGGGATTTAGGAGTGGAATTTTCTGTTTGTTACCCAAATGGTAGAAATAAAAGTGAAATGTGTTTCTTGCTGCCTTTAAATACCTTTGGCTCAGATGACTATTTGCTGCCACCTTCAGTTTTAGAAGGGACTGAAAGAGCCCTTGGTGTCTTTTTCAGGAAAATAAATCCTAAAAAAATTCCCAAACCCCCATCCAGCAAAATAATCCTAAAGAATAACAGAATATATTAAAGCAATTCAATAAAATATTATTTCATTGCCTTTTTAATGCAAATTCCTAGGTGAAGGCAGAGAACAGGGTTTGTTTTCTGTCACCATTCCATCTGTTCCTTTGAATTCCAATCCAGGAATTTTCTCAATGTTCAGACCCCCCTCTATTTACAATTTTTTATTGCTTATAATGGAATTTAATGTTGGTAAAGATGAAAAATCTAAATTCAGCTGAGGAGGATGTTCTTTTTACTATGGAATTAAATTTCTCAGCATTTCAATGGTTTTTTTTTTTTTTTTCCAATTTATTTATAGGGAGAACAGTGTAAATTTGATCATGATGCAGAGATTGAAAAGAAAAAGGAAATCTGTAAGTTTTACATCCAGGGTTACTGCACCAAAGGAGAGAACTGCATTTACTTGCACAATATCCTTTAAAAGTACTTCTATATTCACCTGAAATGTTAATTTCTATTCTTTTCTATTTATTTTCATATAAATGATTTCTAAAGGAATGTCTTTTAAGACTCTGCCATCCACTGTGTAGATAAATTACAAGATTATTTTTCTCAAATACTTCAGCGGAAAAATTAAATATTAAATGACTGATTTGTAACATTTTCAAAAATAAAATCCCTGGACTTTTAGATACATTTATCCACACCTTTAAACCCCTGATCTATTCCTCTTTGTCATTATTTTGGTGTTTTCCTCTGGAATTGAGACCTTTCCCTTTTTAATCACAACTGGAAAATTAAATCTGAAGGCCACAAAAATGTCATTTTTAGGAGGATTTTAAATGGAAGTAAAAGGTAAGTTGGTTGTTAGCTTCCAAAATTCCTACCATAACAATGAATTCCTGATGAAGAATTGAGGGGTAGCTGCCAGCTGAATTCTGCAACCTTACCAAAATGTTAGAAATCCTTAATTCCTTCCTCACATGAATTCCCCTGCAAGTTCTACCACACAGGAGCAAAGTGTTATCAAGGAGATAAATGCAAATTCTCTCATGCACCCCTGACTGCGGAAACCAAGGAGCTGTTGGATAAGGTGAGCGATCTGAGTACTGGGAATATTGGGATTGCTGCACTTGGAGTGGGGAAGGGATGGAGGAGCCTTTTCCATGTGCTCTGGGAAGCTCTGAGCTCTGGTTTATTGGGATATTCCCTCTCCAGTCATTGCCCACCAGGTTTTAAAAAAAGGGGTGTGAATCCAACACTAAAAACTTGAGGAATCTTGAAATAATTCCTTCCACTCCTGTTTGAAAGAAGTGGACTTCTGGGAAATTGTTCCTTCCTGAAATAGAGAAGTATTTTCTTGGCTGGGATTTGGTGTCCTGAAAAACAACTCCCAAAAATGGGTTTAGAATTCCTTTGAGTTGGATGTCAGTATCCAGCAGTATTTTAGCAAATAACAGGAAAGTTGTTTATTTAAATATGGAAATAATATTTCAGTAAAAGGCGCAAGACTAAATTGAACTGTGGAATATGGAAAACTGATAAAATATTTGCCACATGGCTTTGTTCCAGGTTTTGAATAATGAGGAGGAACCCCAAAATGAAGATGAGAAGGAGCTGGAGGAACTCCGGAAGCGGGGCATTGTTCCACTTCCCAAACCCCCGCCGGGGGTCGGACTCCTGCCAACCCCTCCGGAGCAATATCCCTTCTCCGAGTCCGACATGGAAAATTACCAGGATCCTTCAGGAGATTATAAGAAAATCCCATCTCTTTTTGAAATTGTTGTGAAGCCCACTGTGGATTTGGCACACAAAATTGGGAAGAAGTAGGTGTTGGAATTCTGGGGAGAACTCTCCTGGATATTCATAATTTAATTTTTAATCATTGTTCCTGTCAGGATTCTGGGCTAAGTTGAGGATCTGGCAGATAGTTGATACCAGGATTATTTCCTGTTTTCCATAGACAGGAACTTAGGCCTGACCTTCCAGAAGTTGACTCTTTGTTTGTATCTTCATCTGCAGGTGGAGCAGTTTGTTCCCTGCTCCAGTCTTCTTGTAGTTGGCTTTTTTTTGGGCAGAATTGGTGGTGATGAGCAAATATTGGAAAAGTGGTTTTGGCCAAGTTAAGGAATGTGGAATGGGTGTAGTTGGAAAATAATGCTCCTTTGGGAATTCTATCCAGTGTCAGGTCAAATAAGAGTGGGAGGGGGCAAAGAGAGCCAAACTGTTGGTGTTTTTAGGTCCAAAATTTGATTCCTTGATTTTCTTCTGCTTCCAGGCCACCAAGCTTCTACAACAGCGCGTCACCACCGCGGCCGCCATTCCAGGGCAACGACCCACATTCCCAGCACATGTACAATCCAGGCTCGAGTCCAGGGCCAGGTCCTGGCATGTCCCAAGGACACAACGGGCCCCCGATGCACCCCGGCTCTCCTGGGCACCATCCCTGCGGAGGCCCCCAAGGGCCGGGAATGCCGCAGAGCCCCCCCATGCAGGGCGTTCCCCCGGGATACATGGGCCCGCAGAACCAGACTGGAATGCCCATGCAGGGGCAGCAGGGTGGGCCACCTCTCACCCCGCCAGGGATGGGAGGATCCTACAATTCCCCTGGAGTGCAGGGACACATGGTGAACATGCCAAGGGACAATCACTGCCCCCCGGGGCCACAGTACCAGCAGATGCCCGGGGAGTACGAGCCCATGCAGAACCCGGCTGACTTCTATGACAACTATTATTCCCACCAAGCTGTACACAACTTCCAGCCAGCCAATAATTCTGGAGGTAAGGACATCTGCCGGATGAATTTTGGATAGAAACTTCATGGAATGTCTTCAGTGTTCTGGCTTTCTCAGCTGGTGCTGTTCAGTTGCGTTGTTAAGTCATGTTATACGTTAGGGTGAAATGGGATATTGGGAAGAAATCCTTCCCTATGAGGCTGGGGAGGCCCTGGCAGAGTTTTCCCAGAGAAGCTGTGGCTGCCCCATCCCTGGAAGTGTTCCAGGCCAGGATAGATGTGGCTTAGAACAGCCTGGAATAGGGGAAGGTGTCCCTGCCATGGCATGGAACTGGATGTCCTTTAAGCTCCTTTCCAACCCAATTCATTCCATGATTCCATGTTTATAGCTGCAACATTACTATAGGATAACTGCTAACAGGAGTTTTGTCCTGCAGATGGAGCATGGCACGGAGAATTCACAGATCACCAGGCTCACCTCATGGCTCCGGAGTCACACCCGGGCGGGGGCGAGTCGGACTGCATGGGTGGCCACATGGGCCACAACCAGGGCATCAACGTGCCCGATTTCCTGCCCGCCATGCAGAAGGCCCTGTATGTGAGGCTCAGCCAGAAGCACCAACGGGATGGAGACTCTGCCAGCAGCCAGGGCCAGAGGGCCATGAGCAAAGATGAAGGTGAGCAGGATTTGGCTGGAATTCTCATCATATTAATGGCCGTGGTCAGCAAATCGCTTGACGTTGACTCACATCGTGTCACTGTTCACAGTTATTGGGAATAGTTACTGGAAGCAGCAGCAGCTCAGTATTTTCAGCTCTTCTTCCCAGCTTGTTCTAGGATCTTAGTGTAGGTTCACTCCATCCTGGCTCCAATGAATAATTTTTGGATCTAGTTGCACTTTTAAAAGGTCCTTTGGTTGATAATTACTTTGGAAAATCCCTTGTTGGACCAGAGGGGTTGTTTCTCACTGCCAGGACTGGAAGTGCATTCTCTATCCTGTTTCTTCAGGTGCACCTCTTGATCTGTTTCCTATAGAGCAGCTTTTTGCTTCTCTGATATCCTTTAAAATAAAATACTGTAATTTCTTCCCTTCCTGAATCTCAACTTCTCCTACAAACTTTGGAATTTGGTTTAAGTAAGGCAGCAAATTCGTAATTTACCTGGATTAAAGACCACTGCAAGGGGCCATTTTACTTTTCCTTCTCCTATCAAGACTCAGGTTTTAGATATGGTTTTTTACTAGTTCCAGTAAGGATTGTTTGAAAGCAGGTTACTTTCCCAAATTAATATTGAGGGTATGGGGACACTCCCAGGCTGTGTTGCATTCTATCTCCATTACCTCCAGGTTTTTGTGTTATGGCATTTCTTTGATTAAATGGATGTTGGTCATTTGAGGTTGTGATTTTTATGACACTGGGAGTGATTTAATATCAGATCTTTTCAGTTTGACTTTACTGAGGAGTTTCCTGTTAGGGAGTGTTGGATCCTCTAAGAATTATTTGCTGGAATAATCTAAATTTTGTGGCATTTCTTTGATTTTTAGATGACAATGTCAACTGGTATTCCAGTAGTGAGGAGGAAGAGGGGAGCAGTGTTAAATCAATCCTCAAAACCTTAAAGAAACAAAGCGAAAACTTTAGGAATCGGCAACAACATTCCACAGAGCAGCACATGCTTGGGATGCCTACGGATCCCAGGCTGGCAAAAGACAAAGGTGTGGGGCCTCAGGCTGCTGACCCCAGACTCCGGGCCTCTCCAAGGCCCAATCCCAGGAAGCCTTCGGAGTCAGCGTCCCTGGATCCCCGGCTGGCCCGCGATCCGCGGATGCACAAGGTCAGCGAGGGCGGCCATCCCGGCCCCTCCCTGGCCGGGGCCAAGCTGGATTTGCACCACGCCCACGCCGGAGTGAAGGTCAAGCAGAAAGGGCTGGATGATGACGAGGAGGACTCGGAGAGAGAGCTGAGGGAACGAGCTTTCCTCATTCCCTTGGAACCTCTGCCGGGCGTCACGTTACGGGATCCCCGCTCCCAGCTGCGGCAGTTCAGCCACATTAAGATGGATGTGACCCTGATGAAACCCAACTTTGCCAAGCACATTGTGTGGGCCCCCGAGGACTTGCTCCCAATCCCTCTGCCTAAACCCGACCCCGTCTCTTCCATCAATTTACCTCTCCCTCCACTCATTGCTGACCAGAGACTGAATAAGCTGCGGAATTTGAAGAATGATCCACACCCCAACGCGATGCCAGCTGATCCCCGGCTCGCTGCCAAGGCCAAAAACAGTCTTGTGGGCCGGGGTGGCTACTTGGATCCATCCACAGATTCCCATGCCAGTAGCTCCAGCAAACTGGGGGATCCTCGCTTGCAAAAGAACGTTGATCCCCGACTCCATAGACTGTCAAGTGCAGATGCTCACCATGGAGTCGGGAAGGATTCCCACCCTCCCAAGTTTGACCCCCGGCTCGCCAGAGCTGCTGCCAGCTCATCCCAGCCCTCGGAAGCCACGACTCCGAAATCCGACCCCGATGCTCTGCCTCCCTATGCACCCAAATTATCATCCAGTGGTGTTAGGCTGGGAACTCCCGGCTCCATCCTGAGTGGGATCAGTTTGTACGATCCCAGGGATCACAGCTCATCCTCGGACACGGCTCCAGCCAGTTCGGGAGAGAATGGAGAGAACCAGAAAAAAAGTATTTTGAAAAATTCCAGTAAAAATGAGCCGAGTCTCGTGGAAGATGCGTCCCAGCAGAAGGCTGCCTCCAACACGGAAAAACCCACGGAAGGATCAGCAGAAGCTGCTTCAGACAAGGCAAACAGCACCAGTAAATCTCAGGCTAAACACTCCAGCGCTGCCCCTGCCGTCCATAATCTCCCAATCCAGGCTCTGTCAGGATTAATCCGGCCCCAGTACAGCGACCCAAGGCAGGTGAGGCAGCCCGGACAGGTAACGCAGGCCCCGGAGAGCGATCCCAACGGGGAGTCGGATGATAAATCCTTAAAAGATGTTTTCAAGACTTTCGATCCAACTGCTTCCCCGTTTTGTTAGCAGACGGCTTTGGAGTCTTTTTACCGTTGTGGGTATTGCAGTTCTCTGCTGTTTTGTACCTGGGTTACCTCTTTTGGCTTTATTTATTTTTAAATTATAATTCCCACCACTTTTCAGCTGCTAATCTCCGAACCACACGCAGTTCTCCAGTACGCTCGAGTGTTTGCAAAGCTGTGGTATTTTCTAGAGAATCCTTTTTCTTTCCAATTTCAGGGAGACTAATAATTGACCTGTAGAAAGGAAACCAATCCCCCCGGATCGTGTTAGAGCTGAGAAAAGCACTTTCATTGTAAATAAGTCATGGAAAATTCCCAGAGCTGTATATGTGTGAGCTGCCTCTTTCCCAACCACCACTTAGATCCGATTGCCACATTTGTATAGATCCAAGCAATATTATGTACATGAATTCCCGGGAGAGATGCCGTTCCAGGACTGCCAAACCCTTGAACTGATGGAAAACCTCACGGGAATGAATTCAAAGGAAAGCGTCGCTCCTCCTTTTCCAATGAGTTGATGTAAGACACGGACAGTTTTTATTCCTGCAGTCAATATTAGTGTAAAAGAGACTATATCACATATTGAGGATGAAAAATGTCATATCTTTTAAAAGTATTTTATTCTATGCTGTACATAGAAGAAATTGTGAAGTACATAACTAGCAAAAGTAACTGTTCGAAGTGGAGAAAACTACATTGTCTAATACGGAAAAAAAAAAAGGTTTTTATTTAATTTTTTTCCACGCCTACACGATTGGGATTTAGTGCTCCGAGTTCCATTGTGGTGTTCATGTATTTCAATGTATTTTTGTATTCAGCTGCTTAATTTGTATTGCTTTTTTTGTATGGCTGTAACTGCAGTACTTGTATTCATGGTGTCTCGACGACATTTTTAACAAAACAATTAAAAAGGGTACAGTTAATTCCTGGAGACGACTCCGTGTGCATACGGTGGCACCTGGGAGGAGGGGGACTAAAGCTGGGCTTTTTGGGATGGTTTGTGGGGTTTTAACATAACTTTGTACCTGATCCCAAGGTCTCATGGAGAGAGTTGCCATTTTCCATCATGGAACATCTTGCATGTCTTGAATTCCCCAGGTTTTGCATGGGAGAGCACAACTGTCCTCCAGACCTCCTGGGGCTGCTTTTTGTCCAGAGGAAGTGCAGTCATTCCTAGCCAGCTGCTTTTCCAATAAAAATGTGCTGGCCGCTCAATCAATCATCTGCTTCCCACTCCTTTGGAAGGTTTCTCTGCTTTAAGTATCTTCCTTGGTGGACCTTTTCCTCTTGTTTTGCCCTTGGCCAAGTGATGGTCATGGACCTTTTCCTTTTGTTTGTTGGTCAAGTGGTGTTTCCACTGGGACAGCAGAGTGTTTATCCCGAATTCTGAGGTTTTGCCTTGCATGGTTGAGCCAAGGGAAGCCTGTGATTCCTGCACAGCAGAGGAGGCATCTCTGAAGGCATTCGTGGTTTCAGTTTGCCTTCCTGATTTGCCAGAGCAGGAATTCCATTAATTTTTTTTTTTTTTTTTTTTTTGTGTAGCAAAAGTAGAGAATAGACATGGAATTGGGTTGTTATTTTGGAGTAACCCATTAGTGCTTTATTAGTAGTCTGTTATTTCTTCATCTACTCACTGGTGTGGCTGGTCAAGGTTCTCTTCAAAAAACCAAGCCAGCAGGGAAAAATAGTGTGGAAATAGGACATGGATACAAAGGCCTGTGAATCCTCACAGCCTGTTGTCTCCATGTGTATTTCCTTCCTGCCTTTCTCCCTCCCTCCCCTGCTTTATCCATTGCAGATAGCTTCCCAGACTCTGCAGTGTGCCTGCTGCTGCTTTTTCTTGGAATACGGAGGAGATTCCTTCCTGCCATGCATGTAATGGAATTCCTGGTTTGGGGAAGGTGGTTGGGATGCAGGTGGGGGACACCAAGGTGGGCTGGAATGGGCTGCAGCCACCATGGAGCCAGTTGTGATCTGCTGTGGTGTTGGATTGTGTATTCCACAGGGGAGGCTGCCTTCCACCTCTCCTGCAGAATTCCAGCATGGAACAGTGTTTCCATCGGACAGCTCATGATCCTGAGGCTGGGAAGGATGCATGTGGAGAGCCAGGATAGAGGAGCAGCAGTGTAACCAGTCTAGGACACTCTGGAAGTGAGGTAGGTGATCTTGGGAATTGAATGTGATCTTGGGGATTGAATGTTTACTCTGGATAGGAGAGAATCCTGGTGCTGAGTGGGATTTTGGGAAGCAATCTGCAGGCTCAGGGGCAGCAGGTAAGACAAAACACTCCCCACTGCTGTATCCCTGGATATGTGAAGGAGGAAAGGCTGAAAGATGGCACAAAGCCTGAGCATCTCTGGATCACAGAATCCTGGAATAGTTTGGGTGGGAAGGGACCTTAAACTCATCCCATTGCACCCCCTGCCATGGGCAGGGATACCTCCGACACCTCCCACTGGATCAGGATCTCCAGAGCCCTGTCCATCCCATCTCACCACCTGGGGATAAAACACTCACCAGAAGATTCCTGGCCTCCCCACAGAGCCTGTTCCAAGATTTTCCTGCCACAATGAAAAATTCCAGCATGAATCCTTCACACTGAAAGTATTCCTCCTCTGCTTCCAACGGTACTGGGACAAGGAGCCCCTCTGGATTTACAGATGTCTGTCCATAACTGTATGTCCTTTCCTAGGATTGGGATGCTTTGGGATATTCCTGCTCCGAGGGGGTTGCTCTTGCACCACAGACATCAGGGTGGGCTCAGCCTTTGCCCCTCGAGTTTTCCGGAGCCCTAATTCATCCCGGTCGGAATTTAAAGCCTCCTTGGCTCTGTGCTGTGTCAGGTTTTTCCTCCACTGCTGGCAGAAAGCAGCAACTTCTTCTTCTTCGGGGTCTGCTGGGGGTTGTCCCAAACCCTGTTGGATGAAGGAATTGGTTTAATATATCCCTGTGCATCCTAAATTATGGAAAAGTCTGGATGTGCCAATGTGTGCGTGATCCACACAGCATTGCTACTTCTTAATGCTTCAAAATGCTTCAGAATGCTTCAAAAGCTTCTTACAGGGAGAGAAAGGAGGGCAGTTTGTTGATAAGCAGGGAATTTTCCAAAGGGAAATTTCCAGGTCATAAAGGACTTTGGGATCTAGATAGTAAAAATTAATTAATTAATTAATTCAGCATCAGCAAAGTGAAAAATGGGCAAATGGAGGAAGTGCTAAGTTTAATTAAGCACAGGAGGAGCTTTGTCACCCTTGGGGCTGACTGTTCAGCAAATGGGATTCTAAAAAATATGTGTTTCCTTCAAAAAGATGCTGATCCCAGGAAAAGCAGTAGGATTATAGAGGAGGAAGGGATTCAGATGGAAATGCTGCCTTAGGGAGAGGCTGGTGGTGTTTGCACTTGTTTTCCAGTTGTTTCCAGGAAAAATCTGCTCCCACAGACTTTACAGTGAGATCAGCTGGCTGTAGATGGCAGCTGCATGGGAAATTCTTGGGAATTTGGCTTTTGGGAATAAAGAGGATACCATGGATTAATTCCAAATAAAGGTGCTCTATGATCCAAAAATTAAGTGGGGAATGGACCAGGTAAAGGTGACTTCAAGGACAGTCAATGCCTGGGATGATGTAGGGTGGGCTTTGGACATGAGACAAGCACAAAGTGAAAGTATTCCAGGAGGAATATCTGCTCCAGCTGGAGTCCCACAGCAGCCAGATCCCAGCTCCCATAGAAAGACCTGGATGAGAAACTCCCACAACATGGAATTGCCCTGGCCCAGAGAAGCTGTGGCTGCCCCATCCCTGGAACTGCTCAAAGCCAAGCTGGATGGGGCTTGGAGCAACCCTCCCCACCCAAATAACTCCAGGACTGATTCCATGATGGACTCACTTTGACACACGCCGCCTCGGCCGCCCTCAGGACATGCTGGACTGCTTGAATGAGGTTCTGCACGTTGTTGAGCAGCAGCTCAGAGGAGGCCCTGCTCTCCCCAGTCACTGCTTTCACCCTTCAAAGACATTCCAAAGGATTTTATTGGAAGGACATTGGACATCCTGACAGTGTTGTTATTCTAAACCCAGCTTATCCCCTGCACCATCGGAGCAGGGAAACCCATGGGAGGGAAGGGAGGCCTCCAAATTGTTCAACTCTTGGACAATACCCACCTCCCCTAGGACCTCTGGGGACCACAACCCACATTCCTTGGAGAAGGGATCCCTCTGGGATGACCTTGGGAGAGGTGATCCAGCTGCTGGCAGCTCACCTGGCCACGATGCCGAGCTGGCTGCTGATGCATTGGGTGTGCTCAATGGCACGGAGCAGCTCCATGGAGCATCTCTGGTCCAGGCAGTGCTTGGCGAGGATGTTCCCAAACTTAACAACCACCTGCCCATCGGAAACCATTTGCCTGGCACAGGCAACAAACTGCTCCTTGCTCTGGAACGGGATAAAAATCAATGGGATTGGGGAGAGAAGGAAAAAAAGCTTTTCCTGCAGGACAGGGAAGGTCCAGAAGGCTCAGATACATCCTGAGGAAAGGACAGGATGCCAAGCTCACATCCAACCAGGAGGAAGGATTTTGGAGTATTTTGCATAAATAGAGCTGGTACCACTCTCCCAAGAGCTGGGTGACACAGGGATTTGGGATGGAGTTGCCATGATCCTAAGGGAAAACGAGAGGGAGGAAATGCTGCCTACCACAATGGGGCCCTTCCTCCTCAGGAACTGAGCCATGTGGAGCATCCTTGTGGCCATGTCCTGGGACACCTGGGACACCTTGCTGGGGCCACCTTGCCACTTGTCACAGTTTCCTCTCTCCTGCTTCGCAGGGGAGATGCTGGAAGGACCATCCTGGTGCTGTCGAGACAGTAATGGAGCAGATTCCAAACCTGGAATGTGTGGACACAGCGATGCCGAGTGGTTTCCTCCACCTGGGTGTTTCTGAAGGAGATTTTGGTGAGTAAAGTTGGTGGGAGAGGTGCACACCCCCTTCTGGGCCTACTCTGCCTTCCCACCAGCCCTTCTCTCTAAATCCAAAGCCCTTGGAGCCATCTCCAAATGGAGTGGGGTGTCCTGCAAGCTGACAGTTTGTAATTAATTCCCAGCACAATTAGAGCTCTAAAGCACTTTGCTGAGGGACCTGGGTCTGTGCCAAAGCCTTTCCCAGCTCCTGACACGCATGGGAATGGAGTTGCTGGTATTCCCAGAGGGAATGCGTGGAGGTGAGGGAGAGTGCTACAGCCCTTCTTCCTCTGAAATGGTGGATTGGGTTGGATGTAGGAGAGCCTGGCTGATCAGATATCCAGGAATCCAGGGCTGCAGCAACCTGAGCTGCCTGAGTGGCCCAGGGTCAGCCTGCTGACCTCCAGAGGCCCTGCCAGCATCCCTCACATTCCTGCTCCATGCTGGGAGCACCAGGAATGACGGACAGCCCTGACCAACACCCAGGGAAAAGAGCTCCTGTACCAGTTCACGCACTTCCTGCATGGCTTCACTTGCTTCTCTGCTCCTGCATGGATGAATTCCTGCTGCCTCAGTGGGCTCTGGGGCTGGGGAGAGTCCAGCTGTGCTGTTGGGTGATCCTGGGAAGCATTCCCGCTGCAGGCATTCTGTGGGGCACCGCAGGATGTCCCTGTCGATTCCATGGATAACCCAGAGCTGTGTGACAAGGTAGTGTGCCTTGGCCGACCAGTACCACACCATGCCCTCCAGGTGGGGATCCCCAGTGTCCTGGCAGGGATCCCCAGTGTCCTGGTGGCTCTGGAAGTGCTGCCGGGCGCTTCCCACCACGTCAGCCGTGAGGAGCAGGAGGTGGTCAGCCATGGATAGCAGGTCGGGCTGCGATGGAAGTGGAGCACTGGCCTCCAGAGCACCCTGGAGGGTGTTTCTGACCCTCTGGACATCAGCCATGAGCTGATTTGCCTTCTCCTCAAAACCTTCTTTGCTCCTCTCCCTCTCCTCTTGGGTGAGGTTGGACAGAGCTGCTCCAACCACATCTTGGATGAGCCGCAGCTGTTCCATGTTGACCCTTTCCATGTGGAGCAACAATGCCTTGGCCCTGAGGGCCACATCCCTCTGCAGGAGCTCGAAGCGGATGGCCAAGCTGGCAGTAGGCAGTGGGGAGAGCAGGAGGGTGTTGGACACATCCAGCAGTGCTTCCATGAGCACCTGGATCTCCTCCCGGAGCACCAGGATTTCTCTGGCACCGTGGTCTCCAGGGCAGGATAAGTAGGAGAGCCGGGCAGCCTCCTGCAACCTGAGGGAATTCTCAGCCACAGCAGCCAGGAGGCTCCGTGGGCCAACCTTGTTCCTCACAGCTCTGCTCAGCTCCCTCAGGAACAGGACATCCCTGCCCACAAACTGATCCATGGCATCCAGCAGGACACGCATGCCAATGGCCCACCGGACACCATGCGGCTCCAGGATAGCCTTTTCCATCCCACAGGATTCCCTGAAGGACACTGCCTTCCCCAGGAACCCTTTGGTGTTCAGCTGAGCACAGGAAAACCTGGCTTGGAGCTGCAGAAAGCTCCCCTGGATGTGAGAGGGATTGGGATTTTCCCTACTGCAGGCTGTGCTTGCAATATCTCCTGCCACCTGCACTGCTCCTGCCAAGCCCAGCAGGGTCTCATCCAAAGCCTGCTTCCCTCTTGGAAAGTCACCCGACAGGATAAATCCAAGCACTTGCTGGGCCAGACCATTCCAAGAGCCTGCCACAGCTGCCAGGCACTCCCGAGTCTCCTGGATCCTCCCCGAGAGCCTGAGTGCCATTGGGAGAAGCCTGCCTGGAGCAGGGAGCTGCCCAGGGACCGTTTCTGTGGCCAGGCTGATGATCCTTGGGGTAAGTGCCTTGATATCCCAGTGCTGCTCCAGCACCTGGAGCTGGGGGGGTTCAGCCACAGGCAGCGCTTCCCGTGCTGCTTCCACATAGCCATCGGAGAGCTCCAGCAGGACGGAGCAAGCAGCACGGACAGTGTCCATGTCACCGGCTCGGGATGCTCCCAGGAGAGCTGTGATGACTGGGTGTGTATCCCCTTTCCATGGATCCTGGTGGAAGTTAGCTGGTGGTGAAGATGGATGACTTTGGGTATCTCCTTGGAACGCTGCCTCATCCGTACTGTTTCGTGTCCCAGCGTGGGACGGGCTGAGCTCCAGCCCCTTTTCCACCTTGGTGCTCCGCACTTGCTCCCGGAGCGGGCTGAGGATCTCCGGGTGGTTGGACCCATCCAGCCCGGCTTGGACATGGAGAGCAGAGTCCATCAGGGAGCTTGATGCCTGGGAAAAGGCATCCCGGCTTTGGAGGCAGGAAAACCTTCCTGGAATGAGGGCCGTGACTGCTCCCAGCTCCAGGATGGATTTGGCCAATTGCTCCACCCACACCAGCAAACCATTCCTGAAGATGGGATCCGTGGTCCTGTCCACATGCCGGGTGGAGGCTCCAACCACCCAGCGTGCCCAGCCCATGAGGCGAGCGGTGTGCCAGGAGAATCCCTCGGGATCCCAGCATTCCAGTGCTGCTTCACACCATTCCTTTTGCTTGGCCAGCTCCAGGATGGATAACTCAAGGAATTCCCTCATGCCGATGGTCTCCTCAAAGCAGCGCAGGAGGCTGTTGGTGGCTCTGGCCCAGGCACAGCACAGGGCCTGGAGCTGCTCCATGGTATTCCCACTTGTTTCCATGAGCAGGGAAGGGAGGCTGGCCAGGAGGCTCCGCAGGTGCTCCATGCCTTCCCAGATTTCCCTGGCAGTTTGGGCCTTGGCACACCTGGCCAGGAGCAGATCGGCCGCTCGGAGTATCCGCTGGGCCTGAGCAAAGAAGGCGGCAATGAGGGGCTGGAGCTTCCTTAAAATTCCTCCTGGTCCTGCTGGACAACACCCTGAATGAGCAAGGCTAAGGGCACCTTCAACCAGCTGCCTCAGAGGCTCCTTCTCCTCGAAGAATCCATCCAGGATTTGGCACAGCGTGGCCCTGAGCGCTGCCCGGTCCAGCTTTTCCAGCTCCTCCCTCAAGCTGTGACATTCCCACTCCAGGCCCTGTTCTCCCTGGCCCTCCCTCTGGCTCATGTGGCTGCAGATGTTCCTCCTCAGCTGCAGCAGGGCCCAGCAACGTTCCACCAGCTCCAGCTGCAGATCCAGCCTGGAAGACTCTACCAGCAGCATTCCATGGAGAATGACCGCTTCCAAGTGGGAGCTGAACCCACCCTGGGAAAGGCGCAGGGGGTCAGAGTGGGAGAGGAGAGCCTGGAGCCTGCTCATCTGCTGGGAGAAGATCCCACTCCTGTCCTGTGGCTCCATGAGCAGGGAGAGGAGCTCCCTGATGGCTCTCTCCGTCAGCTGGAAAACAGAATCTTGGGAGAGGTCAGCTTGGCTGTCCCTGGAATGTGTCAGGGCGCCCTGCTTGGCTGTGTGGATGAGTGAGACGCACTTGTGGAGCAGCTGCAGGGTCTGGGCCAAGCTCTTCCCTCTGGGACAATCTCCCAGTTCCTGGAGGCGCTCGGCTGTTAGGCGGCTCAGCAGGAGCACGGCCTCAGAAAAGGCCTGGAATGCAGCCAGCAGCCCTGGAGTGTCCCGGGCATCCCGCAGCACGCTCAGGCATTCCAGGAGCCAGCTGGCAGCACCAGTGATCCTCCTCATCCCTGCAGCCTCTTCCAGCTGAAGGATCTAACCAGGAAACAAAGCAGAAAAGCTGCTCAGATCAGGAATTCCCATTCCCATTCCATCCCTGGAGGGGGGCGGGGAGGTGTGGTTTGCTCCATGGATCTGCTGGCCCTTCCCAGTGTCCCCTCACCTTTGCTGGTCAGGAATTCCCATTCCCGTTCCATCCCTGGAGGTGGGGGGAGGTGTGGTTTGCTCCATGGATCTGCTGGCCCTTCCCAGTGTCCCCTCACCTTTGCTGTCTCCATCAGAATCTTCCTGGCAGCTGCTGCCAGGTGCTCTCGGTGCCGAGGGCTGTCCGGATGCTCCTGGAGCTGGAATGCTGCTAGCACCACGTCCCTCCCAGCCTGGAGCAGGGATTCACCCACGGGACACATCTCCGTGCTCCCTTCCTCACCGGAGTCCTCGGACAGCCTGGAATGGAAGGACTGGGCTCAGCACTCCTGTCTCTTCCCCGCTCCCTATCCCACCTCTCCAGGAGGATACAAGCTCCCTGCTACCTTTTCCATCTCTTCCCAGCCCCAAAATCCAGCCGGGAGACTCCCATCCACCTCACCTCCTTGCCACAGCAGCGAGTTCTTCCATAGCTTTGGCTAATTTTCCTGCCTTTTCCCCCAAAGTGGGAAAGGCCTGACAAATCCCATCTTCCCGTTCCAGGGCGAGGAGGAGGTGGCAGAACTCCACAGCCATGGGACAGAGAATTCCCTGGATAGCTTTGTTTTCTGTTGGGAGCCCGAGCTCAGAGAGAGAAAAAGGCTCCATGTTGTCCTGCCTGGAAAAGGGAAAACCCCCTGGGGTTAATTGGGATCCAGTGTGGAACTGCTCCCGGTTTTCCCAGCGAGCTTGGATGGGGATGGCAGTTCCTGGCTTGGGAAACGCTCGCGGCTTTAATTTCGCCCAGCCCTGAAACCAGGTCACTCACCTGGAATTCCTGGGACACCGGAGCCGGGATTTCCTTTCCGGGGGATCATCACACGGTGTTCCCGGCACTGCAGAGCCGGCATTCCCTCAGAGGGAGGGATTCGGGACAGCGAGCCGGGGGGAGCGCGAGGTCTTTCCTCCCCGGTTCCCGCGGTTCCCGGGACGCCATGCGGGATGTTCCCATGGGAGCGACGCCGGGATGCGCCAGCGTCGCCATGGAGATAACGGGCGCGGGGCGATGACGTCGCGCCGCGCGCCGGCCGCGAGGCACGCCGGGAGTTGTAGTTCGGCGCGTTCATGGTAATGGGATTCCCTCGGCCCGGGTGCGCAGGGGAGGGATCAGGCAGGAATATCCCAGTTTCCCCCGTACAGGGCTCGCTGCTTCCAGGAGCGTTTTTGAACAACTCAAATGTGCGCTCATGTAACGGGGCCAGGATCATAGGTGACCCTTCTGATTATCCTCAGTGTGGAATATTCCCAGGAGAGTGTAGCCTACCGCCCGGGAATCTGAGCTTCAGCTCGCCTGCGTTACAGGTGCGGGAATTCCCTGGAAACTCGCAGAATGACATAAACAACCTTCAGGATAAGGACTGATCTGCCACAGATCCCACCGCCAGCTGGGATCCCGCTCCCATTCCCAGAGCCGTCTTTTGAGTTAGCTCCCGAAGGAATCCCGCTTTTGGGAATACCCGGAGGGCCGCGGCTGCGCGGATCCCAGCCGCCGGGAGGAGCCGCTCATCCCCGATCCCCGCCGGATCCCGCATCCCGCACCCTGCGCGCGCCCCGCCCCGCGCACGCGCCCGGCGCGCTCCCGCTGCCGCGGCGGAGGAGGAGGAGGAGGAAGAAGGAGAGCAGGAAAAGCGGGAGCGATGGACAGCGCCGGCAAGGAGCGGGAGGCCGTGCAGCTGATGGCGGAGGCCGAGAAGCGGGTCAAGGGCTCGCACTCCTTCCTGCGGGGGCTCTTCGGGTGAGCGGCCCCGCATCCCCCCAGCCGGATCCCGCATCCCCCCAGCCGGATCCCGCATCCCCCCCTTCCCACCTCCTGCATCTCCCCCCGCGCTTCCCCGGCTCCTTGATCCCCCTCTCCAGCTCTTGCCCCTCTTCCAGCCCCTTCGCACCCCCATTCCCAGCTCCTGAGTCACTGTCTC